GTCACAGAACACTGGACCTCAGCACCTTGTGCTCCAACGGTGCCCTCTCCTCCTCCACTGGGTTTGAGCTGAGAGGACGGGAAACGAATAAGCTAGATGAAAAAATGATTTTTGACGCCCTTAAGCTGAACGGTGACATCATTCGAACAGCTGGCGTGCCCAAAGCAAAGTATCACACAGAAAAGAAAGAACATAGGAGATCCTGGAGGATGCTTGTCTTGCCAAATTTTGCAGACTCTGCAAATAAAAGTGAATCTTCAGTTGCCGGAACTTTTGAAATGACAGGCTTAGCAGCGAGAAGCCCAGAGGAATATGGCACAAATTCTCTTACTTCCGAAGATGATGATTCAGGTCTGTGCAGCCCTCAAACAGAGAGGGAAGGAAAGCAAATTGGGCTGTCAGAAAGACCCCATCTGATTAGAAGCTTGTCTTCCATAGAGGACATTCAGTTGATAGGCAGATTTGGAACATTTTCCTCTCCTATGTCTAGCAGTGAACATAACATCTCAAGGAGCTCCCTTCTCAACGGACCCAACCAAGTGAAGTTGCAGGATACTTTACACACAAAGCATAGAGGAGGGAAATCTCTGTTGAGCCTGGAAAGTCACCAGGAAGAAGGAGATGGACCTTTTAATCCAGGGACTTCTTCACAAAAGGATATCTCAGCACATGCAGAACGGCTCCAGGAGAATAATCAAGAGTATGACATCACTGTAGACGGAAAGGACTTGAAGAACAGCTCTGAAATTAATGAACCATTAGAAAACCATGACAGGATGATTGAAAAGGATATTTCACCTCAGGATATGGATATCTATTATGAAGACGCAGGTATACCTGCTGATGAAATGGATTTAGTAAAACATGCACACGTTCACCAAACAGAACACAATACGATACATACAGATCCAAATGAAATTCAAATTTCTGCTCAGCCTTTAGAACTTGAGAATACCTCATGCCACCAAGCAAATCCAGTGAGAACTGATGTCAGTTTCAGGGTTGCAGGCATACCTATAGAAGAAACCTTGGATACAATTTATAACGGGCTGAGGTCTAATAAGGTAATTAAAACATAAACACATTTTGTAATATTGGTATTGACTTTTCAATTGTTCGGGTTTGGCTTCTGTGATTTCCTCCTGAACTTTTATGCATGTGCTTGGTTAATCTTTCCAAGATGGTGCCTAACATCATTTGGTTGACATATGTCAGAAGGCAGAAATTGGTAGATGATCATTTTGCTAAATTGATTTAAGGGTAATTTGTGACAGGGTCGATTAGGTCCAGCTGTTTCATCTTCCAGATGGGACCTGCCTCCATTGAGATGAAATGCTTTCATGATGTGCTGATGCTCAGCTTCTCCCTGGCCCTTCCTTTTATTTCGGATAGCACAAATTGCTTTTTAGTTCTTCAGTGCCATTCAAGGCAGATGGGCCTGTTTTTTCCATCTGATAATCCTCTACACGTTTCCCTAGCAATAATTTCTTTGAGCTTAGTGAGAATGACTTCTGAGTAGGCAGGCATAGGATTGAACTATGAACTATAAATGGCAATGATTGTTATGGTTTTCGAATCATGCAGATTAAAGACAAGCTATGTGTATTACAATGGTTTCTTTGCATCTTCATGCCAAGACATACTTCAGAAGTGGCAGGGGTTTTACAAGAGTCATGATCATTGGGCCAAGTTGTAGGAAGAAGGAAAGTAGACGCTTATAAAAAGAGGGCATCTGTAAATTTCACATTTTTAGATCTTGTTGGTTTCATCCAGTTTGGTGACACTTGACTTTATCTCAAAGTTCATTGATAAGCTTTTCCAATGAAGTTAACTTCTTGTATTCACTTATTAATTATATATCACTAAACCATTCTGAGAAAATACTTGGCTTGGAAAGTTGTGGAATTGCCTTTAAGAAATGTGGATTTTTGAAACAAAAATAGAGATCTATATCCAAAGAATTATGAGGCTAGTTTCACAGAGTTCAAATGTAGCTGGAGTTGTATTTTCCTGTAGTAGGATGCTCTTTGTTTTTGGAATTTTAACAGGAACTTCAAATATAATTTAATGTAAGAACTTGTGGAAAGAAGTCAAAAGACAAAGTTGTCCCAAAATTACTACCTGAATGTCATTTTTTGCATCTCGGTTATCATTGCTAGTTATTTATTGTTCTAAAGCAGGGGTGTCAAACTTGCATCATCACATGACATATTGCGACTTTTTTCTCCTTTGCTAAATGGGGTGTGGGTGTGGCCAGCGCGTGATGCATCTGGCCCGTGGGCCATGAGTTTGACAACCCTGCTGGCTCTTAAGGGGATGTTTTAGTAGGTAGTCCTCGACTTAATGACCACAATTGGGACCAGATATACCACTATTAAGCAAGGCAGTTGTTAAAAAATGAGTTGCCATGGTCGCTAAGCAAATCATTGCAGTTGTTATGTGAATCACACAATCATCCAGCTTCTCTCGTTGACTTCGCTTGTTGGATGCTGGATGTGAAGGTCACAAATGGCAATCACATGACTCTGGAATACTGCAACCATCTAAAATACTTGCTGGTTGCCAAGCACTCAAATTTTGATCATGTGACCATAGGGATGCTGGTTAATTTACTCTTTTCAATGCTCTTGTAACTTCCAAAAAAAAAAAAACTAAATCAATGGCTACAAGTCAACAACTACCTGTAATCTACTTTATTGAAAAAGGCAAGAGCTTAATGCGCTAACCGTGGGTATTATAGATTCAAATGTTTATTTGCAAAAAGTTACGTGAATTTGCCAGTGATTATGTTTCCTGTTTATTTTGAAAACCTTATTTTTTCATATACTTGAAATGAATGAAGGATTGGATACATCAAGAATAGCATTATGTTTGTAATGTGCTTTGCATTCCACAAATATGCATAGTATTTTTGGTGGCTACTACGCATCTTCCCTTTATCCCATGAAAAGATTGTTAAAATGTGTAAAGAAAGGCATCTACATGTTTGGGATTAATCCCATATTTAGTTTTAGTTTCTCTCTTTATCCAATCTGTAACTATTTCAAGGAGGAATTTGACATTCTTCTATTTCTTTGCATGTGAGTGGTAGCTTCTATTATGAAAATTTGTAGGATTTGTAGCTTGAATGCTCTTTTTTAGCATAATAAATTAGAACATGCATCATCCAGTTGATACACAATTGATCCGTTTTCAGACTTTCTTTAATTCAGCAGTCTCCAACTTTCATGGCTTGGCAGACAGGCAGAGGCGGCAATAGTGGAAGGGATGGAGTGGGGAGAAGGGATGATTTCCCCCGCATGTGTCACTTTCACAAATGCAGCTTTGGGCACAGGTGCACGCTCAGCCACCACTTCTGCAGCCCACTTCCAAAATGGCAGACCGGGGGTTGGGGACCCCTGCTTTAATGATGCCAACTTTCAAGCACGTGTTGTCTTCACACTCTCTTCTTTTAAGATGTAAAACTTCTCATAAAATTCTTTGTAATTGGAGGCATAGGAATAGGGTCTACTAAGTATGTGTAAGCTTATCTCCTACATATGTACTAACAAAACTTTGAGTAATGGAAGTTACACTTTTTGTATCAGTTAGCATTCTTTGTATTAATTGCCACCAAAGTCAAATGTGCCAGTTATCCTTAATGCCCAAACTGCCTGAGGGCTAGAGGTTGCATATTATTTGTCCTAATTGATTTTGCCATCTCAGTAACTGGGGAATGCTTGCTGTTGATTGCCTTTTCATATCCTCAGATGACTCTTTAGACAGATGGATTGCGTTTATGATATTTACCTCCTTTGTTATGGTGATGTTATGGTTAAACCAGCGGAGGATCTCATGGAAATACAGCAGTGCTATTTACTGTTGGTTTTACTGTCACTTTTTGTAAGCATTCCTGCTGCTTTTAAAAGGATAATGCTGTTCGTTGCTTTTGCACCAGAGTTAAGACCAAATCCAGTTCCATTGCTGAAGTTGCCATGAGGTTTTGTGTTGTTTTGGTTTTTTGCCATAAAATAATACTGTTTTAACACTGGAGCTGCAAATCCAATCACCCATGAGCCACTTTGAAATAATGACAAGCTCTTTCAGATAAAACTAAGAGACTGGACTGCTTTTAAACTGCAGCTGTACCGAGTACTGCATCTGATGCTGGTTCTGTTCCAACAAAAGGATTCCAAACTATTGTCGCTGTTGGGCATAGGTAGGAAAAAGTATGTTGCCTAGTGGTGTGTGTTTCCAAATAGAATGAGTGTGAGTGTATATATTCATGTAAAAAGTTAGGTAGAACTTTGGAAAAACATCTTTAGATTACTTTCTCTAGTTATTCTCTTCAGCCTGGCATGAATTGCCATATAGAATACTGATTTTGGGGGTCTCTGTGTTAGAAGAGTCAAACATTAGGATTGTTGATGCTTTACAAATAAGAGGGGGAAAAGTACTTCAGATCTCAGGTGGAATGCAAGATATTAAACAGCCATAGGTTTTTTTTTCAGGGTTTCTTATGAGCTTGAAAAAAGATACAGATTTAAGAAATCCAAAAGTAATGAGAGTTTTAAAGCGCTAGCACATTATTTTAGACTTGCACAGAAGATTCAGGCTGTTTGGCTAGTGTAAAGAGAAAGATGGCATTCACAGTGAAGGTTGGAAGCTCTGCTTTCATGTTATTTTTGAAATGTGCACACCTCTGTTAAACTCAGACTATTATGGTGATATTTTCACTTTTAACATGGTAGTTCATTGCCACTTTTGTAATTGTTTGTCAATCCTTAGTGTCTGCCTATCTATCTAAACATCTAAATTTGCCTTGAATTGCTTTAGGCTATTAAGTGCAATTTTACACATACATTTTACATGTAAACATTATCTTTCAACACAGTGTGAATGCATGCTGTGTGTTTTGACTTCAAATATCTGCTCCGGTTGCTGCTTTTGTTCAACATGCTCCAGGCTCTTTTGTCCAAGTAGTTTTGCCTTTTACTTTCTTTTTCTTTTTCAATTGATAGGCATTTGAGAAAGAAGAGATTGAACCACTGCAACTTAAGCAGCAGGAGATAAATTGGTTGGGTCAAGGCCTTATTCAGAGTGCTGCTAAAAATGCAAGTACTGATAACCTTGAGCAGGATCTTGAAGACGTTAATACAAGGTGGAAAACTCTCAATAAAAAGGTATTAAGCTATGTTTTCACTGTAAATACTTGTTGCTTTTACTGGGTTGTTGTTTCACCACAAAGTTGCTAAATAGTAGGCCCTGAGGAATAACTTGTAATCTCTCAAGTCTTCAGCAGCCACAGAGAGCTTCTGAACGCAGACTAATATTTCTCACATGGACCCAAAATATTCTTTCAAAAATGACACCTATAAGTAGCATTACATATGGTTTTGGAAATAATTTGGAAAATATATTTGGATTGAACAGGGTGGTAATATAGTACCTGTCTACATCTTTTAAACTGAAGAGTCAAATGGCTGCTCCAATAGCTGCAACATGTTGTGGGAAAACAAGTTTCTCCTTGAGAAGAATTGCAGCAAGGATTGCTGTTAATACTCTGCATCTAACAGAGTGCACCAAAAGTCAAACCTCCTAGGCCAGTTGCATTACGTTGTATTAACATTTTTTTCAAAGAAATTATTACTATACTTAGGAATGTTCAGTGCTCATGCATCAAACGAGAAAGGAATAATTACTCAATATTATTGTTCTAAATATAAAATATTTGTCATATCATCAATATAATAACATGATAAAGTTGCATACAGAGAGTACCAAAAGTCAGGATCCATCGACAGTTTATTAGATTAAAATCTTCAGATAAATTCTTGGTGAGGCCTGATTTTGGTATTCTCTGTATATAAGTTTAACATGTTATATTGTTATATGATGCATATTTTATATTATAATAAATAGCTATTTATAACATAAATCTCTATACATTTATTATGGTCATAAGTTTAATATTTATTTAAAAAAATTAATCATCACATTCCTCCAGAGCATCTTTTTTGGATTTGAATATGAAGGAATACATAGTGTTAGACCTATCGTGTCTGCTGGTAACGCATAAAGTCAGATGGTATCATTTCCAAAGTCTTGGAAAATATAAGAAAGTCTACCCTAAACAGACCATTATTTTATTAATGGGAATAACAGCTAGTAAGTACAGTGCCATTTTCTGTTCCATACTGATTGAGGACAATGGAGGAGACACTTCGTTTGCCATCCAAGCATTGGTACAAAATTGAAGAGAGAAAGGGAAGAAACCGTGAAGATTATCTTTTCCATTCTATATGTAAAATTAGGTCTTTTGCCTTGATGGCTGACTAAATATATTGTGGAGATAATTATAAATAATTATCTTAAGTACAGGCAATCCGCAACTTACGACCACAATGAGCCCCAAATTTCTGTTGCCAAAGTATGACACTTGTTAAAGTGAGTTTTGCCCCATTTTATGACCCTTCTTGTCGCAGTTGTTAAGTGAATTACTGCAGCTGTTAAATTAGTAACGTGGTTGTTAACTGAATCTGGCTTCCCTGTTGACTTTGTTTGTCAGAAGGTCGCAAAAGAATCACATGACCCTGGGGCACTGCAGCTGTCATAAATACATGTCAGTTGCCAAGCACCTGGATTTTGAACACGTGACCCACGGGGATATTGCAGTGGTGGTAATTATAAAAAAAAGGGTCATACATCCCTTTTTTCAGTGCCATTGTAACTGTGAATGGTTATTAAATGAATGGTTGTAAGTCAAGGACTACCTGTACTCAAATATTATCACATCCAGGAAGCATTGCAAATATCAATAAATACCAGATCAAATGCTTAATTTTTATTCTTCTCATTTCCTTCAGTTTCTCAAAGGCATTGAGAGATATCAGAGGGTGCATTGTGGGCAGAGGATAATGTATTCAGTGTTGCGCTTGTTTTATAATTTTTTAGGTTTCACAAAGAGCAGCACAGTTGCAAGAAGCATTGTTGCACTGCGGGAGGTTTCAAGATGCCGTTGAAGCTGTTCTCAGCTGGTTAATTGATACAGAAGATCTTGTGGCCAATCAGAAGCCCCCGTCTGCTGAATTTAAAGTTGTGAAGGCCCAAATACAGGAGCAAAAAGTAAGTGAAAGTTAGTTATTTATCTTTATTTTTTATTTATTTATTTATTTTTCCTTTCATTGTGGAGGTGGGGATACTTAGAAGGAAATGCAGCTGTCTTTTCCTGATCCACTGTGTCCACTGAGATGGGAAAGGGGGGCTGGCAGAGAAGAATTTGGATGGGAAGGGATAATAGCCTTTTTAAAAAACTCTATTTTTCCATATCCTACCTAGTCTTTTTTTTTTTTTTTTAAGAAAGGGGAATTTGCTTCACCTCTGGAAGGGGAGGAAACATAGGCAGGGAGAACAGAATCCAGAGTCTACAGGAATTTATCCATCACCAGCTGCATTTTAGAATGTTCCATGCTTGTTAATCCAGTTAGAGGTATCCAATCAGAGGCTTCAGAAATGAATAAGGTCTCCCCAGAGGGCCTTTAGAAGTGAATACTGAATTATTATTTCAGAGTAACAGAACAAGTGTTTTGAGATAAAAGCAACTGATTCAATTAACTCCCATTTAGTTTTTTTTTTTAGCCTCACACTCGTTCTGTAATTGGAGCCTTGCTCCAGGCATACCACATAAAGGATTTTATACTACTTTTATGAACAATCCAAAGAGCATGTTACCTAATTTATTTTTTGTACATTTACATACCAATCTATCCCAGAATATGAGGGAATAAAAATGGAATTTTCAAATAGTCTCTATCAAGGCACTGACAAGACCCAGGCCTTCTTAGTTTCACTAATGTTAGTTCATTACTCTGGAGTGCCCTAGATGGATTTTGGCATCATTTAGGCACTTGAATATAAATAGAAAGGGAATGGTCTACATAATCAAATAAACATTGTTTAACCCACAACTCTATTTTCAGAATCAGCCCTTCAAGGAGAAAATGATGGGTATGTTGGGGTCAGGATTAGCAACTGGCAGTTTTTGAGTAAATCTTAGTGCTGGGTGAAAGTCAGCTTCCTGAATCTGCTATACGGGGGAAAAAAGATGACCTGCAATGATGGCAACAAAAATTTGCACTTTTATTTTTTTAAGATAGGAGTAGCACCATTTCTTTTTTGTTTCATCTTCTTATAGTTTAATAATAGAATAGTAAAATGTCCACTTGACAGAAAAAATAAATGCATAGAAGGGTATTTATCTTGGATCTGTCGACCACCGAAACTACAGGCTTACCTGTGTTTAAGTAGTATGTAGTATGCAAAGTGCAAAACATAACCATAGTCTTCAGAATATAAAGATACTTTATTCTCCAGCACCACAAGTCCTACTACACTACTTTATCATGGCAGGGCATGATAGTATTCATGAGAGGGATGTGCAAAGAGTGTCAGGAATATACGCCAATAGTATATACTGTTATATACTAGGGGGTCACCTCTAAATCATGATGATCATCCTAGGTGTCCAGCTAAAGCAAGCAGGCCACCCACATTGTGCAACAGCAATGTATAAAAATAATAGAGGTGGCAGTGAAAGAGGCATCATTTCATACTGCATGAGATTTGTGTCTCTTTGTGTGTGTGTATGTTTTGCAAGCTCCAGCTTGTCTATTCACACAAATAGACAAGATAAAGTGATTGATGATATAGTTCCAGGTAATTGGCTTCTCAGGTTGGACATGCTACTTGAGGGAAACCTGATACCTTATTGTACAATCACCGGCTAAGGAGAGGAGTGGGTAAAGAGGTGTGCCAGCATGAAGTCACCTCATGGGAGGAAACATGATAGACCAGATTAGTGAAACTCTATCTACTGGGTCCCAAGGGAAGGTAGCAAGTCTGGCAAGAATAATGCCAGGTGCAAGAAACCAGAACAACTTTGTGAATAGGCCAAAGCAGTTCCTCTATTGGTCACCTATATTACAAGAACCTTGCCAATCTGGCTGCATTCCATCGGGAACTAGAGATAAGACGTCACTAGTCTGCTCTGACATTTCCTCCTGTATAGTGACTCCACATCTCTTTTCTCTGCCTTTTTAGCTGGTGATTCCAGCACATAATCTTGCAGAATGCTAATAGCATTTATGAGAACTTCCAGGGGAGGTGTGGCAAATTGAAGAGAGCTTTGTGAAAGTGGAGCCAACAACCACAGCAAAGACCAAGGAACCAGTGAGTAGACTGGTTCCTTGGAATGTCCCTACATAAGGATAGAATGAGAGATTGCCCACATGTGCTTCCCATAAAAAGCAACCGCATGTGTGATTGCTTCTTGTGAAGAGACAAGGCAACAGTGGCTGTCCACAGGTTTGAGCATTGAGAAATAATGGGATCAGTCATCTTGTTTGCAACCACAGCAGAGCCTGTTAAAGGACACTAAGTTCACAAAACCATCACTTTGGGGAAATTGCCTATTTAACCATCTTAAAGCTATTAGAGACTTTTTGCAGCAACAAATTTGAAAACTAAATTCAGTGAATTTATCTTCAACTCAGAACAAGAGAAAAATGAACTACAAGCTTAAACATGTAAAAAATGGGTAGTAAACAGCACAACGCTAAATAAGATTTTGATCTAAGAAAGATACATGTGGATTAAGGGTCAAGATATATTTGGAATATTTACTTTTATTATAAGATTTTGGAATTAAATATAAAAAATTAACAACTTTTCATAGGAAGCATTTATTTTGTCTATCCTGGCAATTGCAAATCATAGCAAAAGATAAGTGATGATTTTGGAAACTGGTTACTATGGAGAAAGCCTGATTTCAGTTAATACAAGTAGTCCTCGACTTATAATCACAATTTCCATTGCTAAGCATGACAGTTAATTTTACCCCATTTTATAAAGTTTATATTGGATGAAATCTAGGTTGAAATCTTTGGCACATAGAGTTGCTGATGTTGCCACATGGAAAAAAGAAAATTAAAACTTGCAAAAACAGAATTACAGAGGGAACATGGAATGTACAATACATGAACTCAGCTCAGCACAGAGAAAGATGAAGTAATTCGTATAATTCTGTCATGTCAATCTGTGTGGTTGCTAAAGGATTAGCACTAGCTTAATGGCATATTATCAATTAATACTTTATTTACAGTTGTCATCACATAAAAAGTCTATACACAAGGCATGGATAACAAAAAAGCTTCGATGTAGGCTAATATAACCCTAAAAACCTAATAAACTGAATGTGTATTGTATGAAACCCTGATGTATTTTGCTGCATTTTCATAAAATCCATTCCTAAAGCTACAGTTTTAAGGGCATTCCAAGAGTAAAATCTTTCCTACGATGATCATAGTAATTAGATAATCCCCAGAAAAATAAATACAGCTCTCAAGGCTTGGCCATACGCTTAATTTCCAATTAAGAAGTTTAATTTACCTGGATTGTCTCCCAAGCTAACTTTCGGTATACACCCAGGAGACTCTCAAATATAGTTTTTCTTCTGTACAGCTGCATCTTGGCTGTTTGCTTTCCCAGACAGCCTGGAGAGATGATTCATTAAACACCATGCAGTCTCTTTTCTCAGAGGGTTGCCTTCAATTGTTTAACTGAGTACTTCTGTTTTCTGATTAAAACAATTACAGAGTATGCTTTCTATTTTGCTGTACGTGCTACCGCAAGCTCCTGAACGGCCCATATTTTTTATTTTCAAGAACAGAATAAGCAGGGATTTAATTGGTGAATCTGTGTGTGTCTTTTACTCAGCTGTTGACAAATACGATTTTTGTAGGGCAGTCTACAACTGGGAGTTGGGGGGGGGATGTGTTAATGGCTCCTGAAAGAGTCATAACTTGGTGTGACAGAAACAGTTGTCTATGAAAGTTTATTATATGTCTAAAATTGTTCCACTGAGTTACAACACCGTATAATGGAAACTGTAAATGTTGAAGTCCAAGAGACACAAAGCATAGAAAGCACAGGCACTTAGTACTGTAGAAGTACTAAGTGTAGAAGGCTTTCTGTACTTCCCTTGAACTCCATGGTTTAGCATTCACAACCACTCCTCCTCAACCCTATAATACAACAAAACCATACTGGTTTCTTAAGTACACTTAATAGGTTACTCTACAATAAATTAGAATATCCTTAAGATATCATAACATTTGTTATTGTATGTAATACAACTATTGTCTTCTAAAAAGGATGGATATGAGTCTTTAGCTGTAATCATATTATAAATAATTATTCCAAAGGCTGATGTAGGGAAGTGTGATGCTAGCAATTGATCATACAGAAATATTGCTGCTTTAAAAATCGTACTAAATCAAAAATATAAAGCCATTGGCTACAGAATTAACAGGAAATGAATTGATAGAAAGTAAAGATAGATTTTGCAAAAAAATCCACATCTACAGGCATTGTTCAGAATAACAACTACTTTGTATATCCAGGGACAAAGAATGGTGGGCACAAATAATACAATACAAGTCCCTGTCAGAAGAGAATAATTTTAAAATAAGAGCAAGTATTATAGACTTGTGTTCCTAGTAAGAGGGTTCATTAGCATCTTTTGAAAGTACAATGAACTGCTGTCAGACAGAGAGCCAGGGAAATGGTTTTGAAGCAAATATTCAGAAATCATTACGTAAGCAAAGAGGAAGGAAGCATTCCTTAAGTCTTAAGGGAAGACTTAAGCATTCCTTAAGGGAAGGGAAATAGTATTAAGAAGAGACTGAGGCTGATTTTTCCCTGTTTCACTGAGGTATAAGAAGGTGGGGATAAAAGCACAAGCAGACATTGGAACTTTTTGTTATTGTAGCCTATCTTAATAAAAAGCTAATTCTAGCCTTCCTGTGGAGTTGGTTTCCTGATCTGGTCTATCTCGAAGAGCTGTTGTATAACTTAATGGAATGTCTTACTCTGAAAGCACTGTATTTCATAACAGCAAGGAAGGCATGCTTATTTGTAGCCAACCTAAGATGTCAGTGTAATGTTGAAACAGAATTTTAAATAAAAATGGAAAATAATAACTCCACAGCACAACAGGATTTATTTAGTCCATCAGTGCTAAATAAATGAATAACTAATTTTGCAATGGGAAGCATAAATGCTGTCTGTTGCCTGCCATTTCAGATGACAAACTTGCTTAAATCTGTCCCATTTGCCGGTAAGCCAGACCTTGGATAATCAGCCTATTCGTCTTGTCAAAAAACCATCATTTCCTGGCAATTTAATTTTTGATTATTTTGTTTCCAGCTTCTCCAGAGATTGTTAGATGACCGCAAGCCTACTATTGAATTGATCAAGCGTGAAGGGGAAAAAATTGCAGAGTCAGCAGAACCGGCAGATAAAGAAAAGATCTTGAAACAGCTGAGTCTCCTGGATAGCAGATGGGCTGCATTGCTTGATAAAGCAGAAATGAGGTACTTGAAACATTTTCATTCATTTTTTCGTAGAGCAGGGAGCTCTTCTAGCTACAGCAAAGAAAACTTGTAACTTGAAGCAGCCGTGCAAGCATTTTTGTTCTAAGATGAGCATTAATTTTTGAGGCTGGATGAGAAAATGCATTAGCACTGTTAGGACTAGAACTGCAGGTGAAATAAATAAGATTAATCTATTCCCTCAGTTAATAACTAGGCGGATAGCTAGAAGGCAGGCATTATGGATTGTAAAATGGGCATAACGAAAAGGTCTACTGCATGGAAGAGCTGGCAAATTAAGGATTATTTTAATAAAGGATTGATTTATTTTGCACCTGTGAGATTTAATTTAAAACAATTCTAACCTAGAGTAAAGTGGTTCAGCAGATCTAACTAATTAGTGGGCAAGTAGTTAAAAATCAATCAGAATAGAGCTGGAAGGGACTTTGGAGGTCATCTAATCCAACCCCCTGCTCAAGCAGGAGACCCTATACCATTTCAGACAGGTGGCTGTCCAATCTTTTCTTAAAAAAAAACTCCAGTGATGAAGCACCCACAGCTTCTGAAGGCAAGCTGTTCCACTGGTTAATTGTTCTCACTATTAAAAAGTCTGTCTTCCAGTTGCTTCTCTTCTTGATTAGTTTCCATCCATGGTCCATGCCTTCTGGTGCTTTGGAAAATAAGTTGATCCCTTTTCTGTGTGGCGGCCCCTCAAATAATGGAATACTGCTATCATGTCCCCCATAATCCTTCTTTTCTCTAGACTGGCCATACCCAATTCCTGCAACTGTTCTTCATATGTTTTGTCTGCAGAGCTTTAATCATCTTAGCACTTTTTCCAGTCTAAACATCTTTTTGTAATGTGGTAACCAAAACTGGATGCAATATTCCAGGTGTGATCTTATTAACGATTTATAAAGCAGTACTAATACTTCACTGATTTTGAAATACGATTAACACAAACTACAAAATGCTGACTGATGTTTATTTGGATTACTTTTTATTATTAAGTCACAAAGTTTAATTTCTGGATTTTTTTTTTATTTTGTGAAGTCTGGAATCTTTTATGTCTGTATTTGATCCCTAAATGTTTGTTTTTCATTCTCTTGGCATTTTGTAGGCATCGCCAGTTGGAAGGGATTTCAACTGTAGCGCAGCAGTTCCATGAAACCTTAGAACCATTAGTTGAATGGCTAGCAACTACTGAAAAGAAGCTTTCCAATTCAGAACCCATTGGCACCCAGGCTTCCAAACTACAACAACAAATTTCTCAACATAAAGTAAGACCTTAATGGGCAGCCTCTTGAAGTTATTTTTATAGCTTACTCATTCAGGAAATTCCTTCTCCTTGCCTGAGTTTTTTAAAATGCATTTCTATATCACTCTAATTGGTTTATTCATTTTGCTTTTTTTTAATTTAATTGTGCTCATAGTTTTTTACATGATTTTGTTAAATTTTCTTTTCATTTTTTTTCCTTTCTGCTGCTTTGAAAATTCCATTAGACTATAGAGGAAGACATCACCACTCACAATAAAAATCTACAGCAAGCAATTAATATTGGTCAAATTTTAAACTCATTGTGCTCCAGGGAAGACAAAGAGATGGTTCAAGAGAAATTAGATTCTTCAGAAGGCCGATACATTGAGGTTCAAGAAAAAAGCAGAAGTAGGGCTGAGCTCCTGAAACAAGCATATTGCAATGCTCAGATTTTTGGAGAAGATGAGGTTGAATTGATGAACTGGTTGAGTGAAGTCCATGAGAAACTGAGCAAATTGGGAGTCCAAGACTACAATACTGATTTACTAGAGAAACAGCACGCTGAAATGCTGGTATTTGCCATTATTTTCTGTTATTTTTAATTTACCATCATTAATCATACTATTAACAATTTCTTTTGTATTTTGCTAGTTATTTAGTTATTTCTTATAATTAAATCTTGCTTAATGTTTATTTCTTTAGTTACCTCATGAACTTTTTTCTTTTTATTTCCTCATGAACTCTTTTCTTTTTATTTCCCATGAAGAAAGAAATGAAAGCATTATTCCTTAGCAGCAACAAAAAGTTATTCCTTATAAAATAGAACTTTTAGTGATGATTTCTTTGATGTGTTTATGTGCTGTTGCCTTTTCCCTCTCATTCCCCATACTCTTAAATTGTTAAATTTCCTAGGTTCTTCAAGAAGAGATTAAGATCAGAAAAGATAATGTTGATGAAGCTATTCAAAATGGTTTACTGCTTCTTAAACAAACTACAGGTGAGAATGATTTATATCAGTGGCAAGTTAAATAACATATTTTATTTGATTTTTTTACACTATAAAAGTAACATTTTCCAGAATAAATGTGATAATCTTGATAATTAATGTACCATTTTTTAAAAAAAATGACTTGAAATCATATTGATTGACAGCTGGCTATGACAATATGGTTGAGAGCATAAATTGTCAGTTGGCAATCTTTTTCATTTGGAAAATTAATTTCTGTACTTAAAAAAGTAAATGTTTGAATTAGTGGTATAAAAAGTGTTTTAAAAGGGATCTTTGGGGAATTAAAACAGTTACAGTTAAGGTGAATGAACTGAACCAAGTTTCATTCTATGTTGCATATCTACTGTTTACAAGAGCAAGAAGGCAGGAATAATAAATGAAAATCTAGTCATCCCTCGTGGCTTTCTTATGCTCCAAAGCCATAAAACCAAACTTCAAGGAGCGGAACGGTGATGATAAGTCATCTCAGTCCTTATTGATAGTCTTTTCCTGATGTGATGTTGGGCTAGGATTATAAATACCAGAATTCCTGCCAGAAAACCAACATAACACTCTCTCCATGCTACTCAGACTAGCATTTGTTGCTTCCTAAGGTGTCTTTGTTCTACTCTTGATAGAAATAAATGTTCTGTCAGTGAAAATTTCCACCACAGCAGTTGTGAGGAAAATTTGTAGGTGGGTTGTTTTTTTTTTTTTTTTTGTAACCATTAAAATTTGTCAGTCTCCTAAGTTTGATGGAAACATTTAAAAATGTTTAGCCTCTTTCTAAGCAAACAAGAATTAGATGGCTACTGCTGCGTGTTTTTTGCTAATTATTTGGAAGAAGTATTTTGGACTCACTACCTTCTTAATACAGTGCCAGCCTTTTTTCAATCCCCTGTGGAAGCCTGAAAAAAAGACTGCCTTAGAATAGAAAGATGCTCTGTTTTTGTGGGGTCCAGACACTTCTGTTTATAGTGTTTTTGACACTTTTTAGCAGCCTGCAGAGTTTTAGTTATTTTCCATTTATAGTTTCACTATGTGTGATCCTGGAAATATTGATTATGTTTGTCATGTTTTGTATTTTTAAATTACTGCTTTTATAAATAAAATCACTGCTATGAATGGAGTTTTATATCCATTTAGATATCAACCAATAATTTAAGCTGTAGATAAATTGCATTAGTGTTTATTTCAGCAGTCCCCCCCCCACCCTTTCCTGGAGGAGGAGGGCTAAGTAGATTGTGATAGTAAATGTTGTTCTAAGGTTAAAAATGATTATATATTTTTTAAATTGGTGAACATCCTCCGTACTAAAGATAGTGGAAAAATTGCATTCCAAATGGACATAGCATGTCTGGTTTAGAAGGCAGCATCTTGTGAATTTTCTAGACTTTATGAAGTTTCCCAAACGTAGTAATTTGAATCTGAGAAGGATGATATATATGTGAGTGTGTAAACAATACATTTATCACTTCCATCTGTTTTATTTCATTGAATTAATTTGCAATGAGTTCATTGGTTACAAAATAACAATGCTGGCATTTTTTTTTGGAAGATTCGGATTACTAGTATAAATTGCATAGTGAAGAAAACTGTCATTTGGTCTTATAAGAAAAAGAATTCAGTCTACTCTAACATATGGATATAACCCCTAAACTACTATGGGCACATTAGAAGCAATAGGATTAAGGTTGACTTTGCTAATAGGCCTGTAAACTCTTCAGATATTTTACAATAGATCCCCTATGTAGTCCTCTGCTTTGAAGGGCTATAGATCTCTATATCCAATCTTAATAGTGCTAGATCAGGGGTGTCAAACTCAGTTTCATTGAGGTCACATCAGGTTTGTGTTTGACCTCCAGTGGGCCAGGGTGGTGACTGGGGCGGGTGTGGCCCTCTACCAGCGAAAATGGAGCTCACGGCCCTCATTTTCAACTAGGACAGTCTCCTGCAGCCTTATGCCAGGGAAAATGCAGCTCAAGGGGGCCGCATGTGACCCCCTGAGCTGCGTTTTTGTTGGCAGAGGGCTGCAGGAGGCCATCCCAGCTAAAAATGGAGCCTGGGAGGGTTGCACACAGCCTCCCGAGCTCCGTTTTCACTGGCAGAGGCACCGCAGGCTGGTCCTTTCCTGTTGCGGTCCCGTGGGCCAGTTTAAACACCCTGTGAGCCAGATCTGGCCCCTGGGCCTTGAGTTTGACACCCCTGTGCTAGATAGTAAGTTCTGTCATGTTCTGGATGTATATTGAACAATAAAAATTAAACTTTTTATTCTTCTGCTGTCCAATTATGCCAATCAGGGCTTTGAGAAGGGGAAGAGCATGGTGAAAAGTGTTCCTCCAAGTCTTAGCCAGCAATATTCAAAATTAGCCAGGCTATATGGAATCTTGTTGGCTCTAGGATTATCAGAAATCAATGTTTTTATGAAAGTACATTCAAAATCAGTTAAAGATAAAACTTAAAGTACTCCCATATATCTATCAAAATAATCCTGGAGTTTAGGCATCCAAAATAAATAAAGCCATTAAAAAAAATAAATCCTAGGAATATTGTCCTGAGGGTTGCATATGATTTGCCTATAAATTGTATTATTTGCTGCAATGACCATGTACCTATTTACCTAACAAACAAATATGCTTGAATCTGAATATTTTCTGGTACACATTCAAGATACAGCATGTTTGTCCGGTAATAGTTTGAGATACTGATAGTCATCTGAAGAATATATTTGCCAGAATAAGAGCCCTAATATTTGGAACCAACAAAAATAATAAGGGTCTAGCAAGGCAAGATCCTTAATTTACAGTATTTCCTTACAAAACATCTTAATTAGACAGCCTTTTTTTCTAAATCAGAAATTCTGGGTTGCACAATTCATCAGGAACTTATTTGTGAATATCTACTGTACTGAATGTTGCCAATATGAAAACAGCATTTTCATAGAGCTAATTTTCAGTGAACTAAGTCTCTTGATATTAAAAGTTCTCAGAGAAAAAATGAATTTCCTAAGTAATTTGCTGTGAGTTTTGGTTATACATTGATTCTTGCAGGTCAAGAGGTCTTTGGGTTGTTTAGGTCAATTGTAGGTCAAGAGTTCTTTAGGTTATATAGGTCTAACATTTTCAAGGAAATGATGTTAGCATATTGGACAAATATCTTGGTATATTGATCAGGTTTCAATCTGAATAGAAATAAAAAGTGTCATCAACTGTATATTCTGAGATGTACCAAAGGACCTATTTAATAAATGTTACATTTTCTGGTTGTAATACTTCCTTTAGACGTTATTACATTACCTCCCTGTACCTAGTCAGTTTTGGCAGAAAACTAAACAGCAGAGGCTGTGATTATTACGTGGATTGGGAATTATTCCAGGTCTGTAAATTCAACTGGGAAGTTTAAACAGCATCCTGGCAAGATGTTCCATAATGTGTCCATGTAAATCACAATATCTGAGCTCAATCTTAAAGCAACTTTATTATTCTGGCTTTGTATGTATTTTATTTTATTCTAAATATAGTTCATAAATCTGGCCCAAACTACAAATTATTAATACATAAATAGGAGTCTTATTCATTTTTGCAATTAATAACTTGATGGTTTGGGGTTCTTTGGGCAATAATATTCTTTTCAAATTTTAGGAGACGAAATTGTTGTAATTCAAGATAAATTGGAAGGCATCAAAGCAAGGTACAAGGATATCACTAACCTGAGTTCTGAAGTGTTCAAAACTTTAGAAGAAGCTCTTCAGCTTTCAGGGCAGCTCCAATCAGCTCACAAAGAACTTTGTTCTTGGCTTGACAAAGTTGAAGTCGAGTTACTTTCACACAACTCTCAAGATCCCAAAGGCAAAGAATTAAGTGAAACACAAGAAAGACAAAAAGTGAGTATCAAGCTAGAAAATAAAGATCGACTTAACATTTTGTTGTTTGGATTTTGGCTTAGTCTATTCCATGTACAAGGTCATTGTGGTTTGTAAACTATATGTGTTATGAAAACATGGGTGATAAACTCTTTGCTATAACAAGGCTAGTCATATACACAAGTAATAATGTTCAAATGTTTACTACTTGTTTGCCATGTAGATGTTTACTAAATTATAATCATATTCATAAACCTTACCATATGAGAGATCAACCACAGTAAAATCACTTCAGTGTCTCATTTTATAGAGACAAGAATGCGACAATTTAATATACAAGCTATCCAGTTGCAGACCACACTGTTCTTTTACTAAATACGTTTACTTAAGAAATTATTCCACAATAAGATAAACTCTTCCTTATTGCTCAACTGCTAAAATATTGCTTGAAGATGAATCCAGTGTCTACATTCTTGAAGATATATTAAAATTTGATTTTTATGTTATTGCCATTAGAATTAGTTATTTTACTGGCAAGAGAGGTAAATGTATTATAAATTGTAAGTGACCCACAAGAATTCTTCATATTACTTATGATTACATATGTACTATGGTAAAATGCTGTGTGAATCCCCAGAACGTTTTCAAGTCATATTTTGACAGAGCTTCTCTTCAGGAATTAACAAATTGAAATTACTTTTACTTTTCCTGTGTACAGCTTCTTATTTGCAATAAATCTTTTCATAACTTTGTTATTTCTTGCTTGATTATGTTGATCAAGTTGGTGTTGATAAGAATTAGTGTTAAGCCTTATTGACCACATCGCTCAGGGTCTTCAAAGTGGACAATAACTACACCCAATGATTTATCCATTATAGTTGTGGTTTATTTTTATTTTTATTATTATTATTATTATTATTATTATCATCATCATCATCATCATCATCATCCATAGTACTATTAGTTAAAGTAGCATTTATTAAATTATTTTCATGTAATAATAACAATTGGAAAACAAAATATTGGGGCTTGCAGATTGAAGTTGAACACTCATGGGGAGAAAATCTGAATCAATCATGACTATCTGGAAACAGTTTGTTTATCAGACCTGACACTCTAATTTTACAAAAAAAAAAACCCACCTTGTTTGGAACTGCTTACATTTTAGATGCTTCCTTAATAATTCTTAGATTCTTGGTTAGGACTTGAAATATTAAGTTTCTACCAATCTTAGATGGTGAATCTAACTGTAGATTATCCACACTTAATAGTTCTTGACTTTTGTTATCTGACCTTGCAGATCATTTTCAGTATCAGAATAGTATCATCAGCATAATGCTGATTAATAATATTTTCTCCAGCATCCCCACATTCAGCATATAATTTTTCTTATAGTAATGTTAAAAAAAAAGAAGGGAAGAGTCACATAGATTTTTGTCAGAGTGTTTATCTCAAATATTCTTTTTTAGGAACTGAAAAAAGAAGTAAAGGATAAGAAAAGTTTATTGGACAATCTCAATGAAATCAGCAGTGCTTTGTTGGGACTGGTGCCATGGAGAGCCAGGGAAGGGATAGATAAAATGGTTACAGAAGACAATGAACGATACCGATTAATGAGTGACACTTTAAATCAAAAAGTGGAAGAAATTGATGCTGCAATTTTAAGATCACAACAGGTAAAAGTAATATTGGTTTAACCTTCTGTAACCGGAATAATACGTGTTTATATCAGGTTTGCATCACACACGCACACACAGAGGGGCAGTTCATTTACCTGGGAATTCATGTCAAAATAAAAATGTTCTCTTCATTTTACTGTACTTTCCTTGCACACATTGGCTCTATTATTCAAGAACTGGGGCTGATCTTGGGGAGGGAGGGTATCCTGGCCATAATTTTCAGACATGAATCTTAGAACAAAGGAAATCCAGTCATTCTCATAGCCGTCTGTCTCCTGATTGATGCAACAATTGCAGATCAGCCTCATACTGAGAAGCTTAATGAGGAACATCATGCAATGAACTAAGTAAGAATTTCACCAGAACAAAGGATTAAATCTAAATCCTTTTAATGCCTGTAGTTTATGGTGCCTAATAGGCAGGGGTGGGATACGAAAGGGTTAACTACCAGTTTGGGATTTACGAGCTTCCCTGCCCCAGCCTGTAAATCATCATAAATCGTCATTAGCACATCATTAGCATGCTGCCTGCCCAGAAGCAGGCTTTGAAACAGCCCTCTTTTCTTGTTTTTTTAACTGCAGCTGTGCCTTGTTCGCAGCTGAAGTTGAAAAATTAGGAAATAAAGATCAGGTAAGAGCCCGGGTGGGCGGGTAGGCAAAAACATCAGCAGACATAGAACCGGTTCTTTGTCTGCTGCTCTTCAGAGCTACTGGTTCTACAGAGGTGGACAGAACCGGTAGAAACCCACCCCTGCTAATAGGATCAAATGTGAGGTTGTATAAGTGATGCAAAATTGCTAGGTGTAGGTTTTTGTGAACAATAAATGTTGTTCATATTGCATGTAGTATTAAAGTGAATTTAATGTCCACATCAGAATGTTTCTAGGATAATTTGTGTGTATGTGATTTTAAAGATCTGCTTTACTAGCCCTTTAATTTAGCATGACTCAGTTTAAATGCCTTTATTTAAAGCAGAGTGTTCAGGCCAAGTATATCTGCTCTGATTATAGTTGTAAAAAGACAGTGAATGTTTGTGGCCTGTTTCAAATAGATTAAACAGTATGATAAAGAATTACTCATGGGAGAATCTTCAAGCCACATAATTTACTTTTCAGCTGTGATTCATAATTAAAGAACAAGATATGATAGCTTTTCCATTAATTTCACTTTAAATCTGGCAATACTCTTGATCCTCAGCTGTCGCTGGATTCTAAGATGGCAGCTGTGACAAGAATCATCTTTGCACAATTGTGTCTAGCGTGCCAATTTGTTCCAAAGACAGTCAGATTTAGCAACAGTTATCTACTCTTTTGATTACATTGTATCTTGATTATGGCAACACAGAAATGTGTGTGTGTGTGTGTGTAATTCAGTGTCCATATTTTTCACATTCTATGAATGTGAGAATGCATTAAGTATTATCATTTGTACAGAAAAAGTTGCATGACCAAAATAAAGGACAAAAGTAAGTTTTTGAAAAATAAATCTAAAAGACAGCTTTCTGAAATAAAGGCTGTCCTTTATAATAAAAGACTAGCCTTGAATCAGATCGAGAAGCTGCCTTTGTGCAAAATGGGCAGTAAGGCTATTAACCAATCAATGTACTGATCCCTGTAAGATCTCTCTGTACTGGTTGTCAGCTGCTTATCAGGCATAGTTTAAAGTGTTCCTTTTGATGGCTTTAGACCTGATTATCTAAAGAGCAGCCTTTCCCATTACAAACCTGTCTGACAGTTCTCAGAAGAGGCTGACTTGCCTTTCTGTCCCCCTCCTCCTAAATTGGTGTCACACTGTGCAACACATTCCCTAAGGAATTGTGTTTGGCTTCCACAATCTCAGTGTGTAGAAAATCTGTAAAGGTATATTTCTTTTGCCATATCCTTAATTGTCAGAAGCATGCTGTTTTCACTTTAATCTACATCTTTCAGCACTTTAGAATATGAGTTGTGTGGCACAGCCGTTTGAATGCAGGATTGCAGGCTAACTCTGCTCACTACCAGAAGTTCAATCCAGACTGGCTGAAGGTTGACTCAGCTTTCCATCCTTCCAAGGTCAATAAAATGAGGAAACAGATAGTTGTGGGCAATATGCTGACAATGTAAATTGTCAGAGAGTACTGTAAAGTGCTATGGAGTGGTATATAAGTCTTATTGCTATTGTTACATTCTGAATATTCTTTAAAAATTTATCAGCTACTTTAAATGTGATAGTTAATATTTTAACTGAAAGATCAGTGATACAATAGTGATATATAAAAGAGGCATGAAGGGCAACGACCTCTGTCTAAAGGGCATAGATTGACCTTGTTGGCTTCATCTCCAAATTCTGTTGCATCTCCCTGCCTTTTTCTCCAAACCTGGAATAGGAAGAGCTCTTAACCTCCAGATGAACAGCTGATCAAACATTAGAACTTTTCCTAGCTATCAGGAAAATTGTTATGCAGGGTGCTACTATGAAGAAAACATTTCAGCTGGGGAGGAGAACAGTACCTTTATTTTATCTGATGCTGCAAATTTTCCCTTTGAAATGTTGTCTGTTAAAAATATTAACTTGGAGGAGGAGGGCGCACTGCTGGGAAAGGAAACTCATCTCCCCCAACACTACATTGTCTCCCATTGAGAGTTTGTTTGCTGATCCTGCCAATAGCAATAGTAATAGCACTTGGACTTATATACCGCTTCACAGTGCTTTTACAGCCCTCTCTAAGCGGTTTACAAAGTCAGCATATTGCCCCCAACAATCTGGGTCCTCATTTTACCAACCTGAGAAGGATGGAAGGCTGAATCAACCTTGAGCCAGTCAGAATCAAACTGCTGGCAATCAGCAGAGATAGCCTGCAATACTGCATTCTAACCTCTGCGCCACCACGGCAATAGGCATTAAAACAGCTATCCTCAATGTCAAAAGACACAGTTTTAAATCCTAGTTGTGAGATATTTCAGAATATGGTCTACAAATGAAAGGTATAAATGTGATTGGATTGTATGGGTATCACTAAAGGCAAACATATTAGTGACCACTTCCTCACAATGGGGCATAGCAACTGCTAATATGCAACTTTTGGCAGAATTGCCCAGAGTTATTTTGGCCCTCAGCCTGAAATCAGGTCTTCACCCCTGCTGTGAAGGCTGTGTGTGTTTCCAAAGAGTAAAATAGACAAATAATCAAATTTTTGTCTTGTGATTTGATAATAGAATTGAAGCTTGCTTCATATATTTATGGATTCAATTATCTAATTAAGCAAGTCAGCAGAATTGAGTCTAAGTGGTTTTCTAGAACTTTCTCTAATTGGGAAGGCAGGGATGCATCTATAGAGATGAAAAGAGGATGGATGTAGATTTTCTTTCTCTTTCCATTCAACAGTGAATGCAGGGGGAAAAAATGTTTGAAGGGATTATTCTGTCCAGACAATGTGTAAAATCGCCAGAGTATTTATAAAGGAGATGTATACGACACAAGTAGACTGTCATTTTACTTGCGTTAAGAAAGAGGAGTAATTTGTTTTCTGGATTTAAATATTAATGTTACATAATAGGACCTGTATTAAAGCAAGGGAGTAATCTTAAAAATGGACAACAACAAGATGTAGATAGAATAGTCTTGTGCTAAATGCGTTAGCTTCCTAAACTTCTGGACAGTTCAGTTTTATTTTAGAAAGTCAAGAAATCTCAGAATCACTAAGAAACATACTTAAATGAGCTTTATTCAAAAATGACAATGGACACGATACAGCTACTTTGAGACCACTTGACTTTACTAAAATAAAAATAAACTGCCCAGATGTTACAAGAAGCTAATGTATTTAGCACAGATTTATTCTATGATTAGCACTGATTCTTGCAGCTTTCTGGAAAGTCTTTATTTCCTCCCTACCCCCACCCCCCAAGAAATAGTACAAAGAGAGATTTTTACATGGAACTGCGTCCAAGATTATAAGCAGATTTTTACTGACATTCAGCTGAACACAAACAAAGACTCATTTCAGTCTTTTTCTGCCCCAAGAAATAAATGCAAAAGAAAGCAGGAAGTGAGCCAGTAGGCACAATCCCAGCGCCTGCCCACCCCCCATTGGATTGTAAGAAGTGTTTTATTGGAAATTACTCTCTTACTCTATATTAGTGCAATTTTTCATGGAAATTCACAGCTTCTTGCATTTCATGGACTTTGATCTTTAATGCTTGCCGATTTCCATCATTACATGCCTCTAAGTGCATGTCTGTGATACACGATATCAATTGAAGAGTATCCTTCAGGCGTCAGATAGAATAGACTTATGCTGTACAAAAGCTTACACAACAATAAACCTGTTCATTTTGAAAATATTAAAAAAAATCTATGTCATATTTGCTGTAATAGACAAAAAGCAGCACACTCAATAATCTAGACACCATTATTCATAAATCCCTGAATAGTAAATACAGATTGACCATAGCTATTTGGGATGGAATAGTTTCTAACTGAACTGTGATAAGTGTACTTTTAGGTTTCTTTTATCTATAAGTGAACATTTCTGTTTTTTTTTTTAATAATTGCTTTTTGATGGTCTTTCTTTAGTTTGACCAGGCAGCTAATAATGAATTAGCCTGGATTGACAAAACAGAAAAGAAACTGATATCTCTGGGAGACATAAGACTTGAACGGGACCAGACTTTTGCTCAGCTTCAAATTCAAAAGGTAAACAAACTCCATTTGTGATGTGCTAAATCAATTCTCATTACAAATTTGATATCACTTATATTGCATGTGTTATGGTCAACTTCCTGCTGCTCTTAATAGCAATCTGTTTTGTTATATGACTAGGGGTTTACCATGGAGATTTTGAAACACAAGGATACAATAGAAGAACTTGTTTCATCTGGGGATGAGATCATGAAGACATGTACAGAGGAGGAGAAACAAATTATGAAGGTAATAAAGTATTACTTGCACTTATTTGGTAATGAATCTGAATAGCTAAACACCGATCTAATTTCTAAAGCTTGTGAAGAAGTTGTTACTCATATGCAACAGTTAGTGCTCATCTCCTGTGGCTTAGGAGATGTGATGACCCAGGGCATGGCACAGAGGCAACACAGTCAAATAAGCAAGAAGAGTCCCTTTAATGCTTCCAATTTTGCCCCCAGTGTCCAGGTTACCTTCGGCTGGAGAAAAAACTCTCCCAAGAACAGTCTTTAAGTGGAGGAAATTCAGTCCCCCCCAAAAAGTACATGCAAATTGTAAATAAAAATCCACACAAACCATGCTGCAACAATTAACTTGACAGGGCAGGATAAGGAATTGCATACTTGAAAGGCCAATAAAACACACACAGTTTGGAAGTCCCCAGTAACCCAGAAAAGCCTCGACAATAACAGACAACTCACTATTGGCTTCCAACAACTTTGCTGTGCATAGCTTCCCTTTTTAAACACTGTGTTCCCAGCTGCAGCTAATGAAGGGAATCAGGGTCCTTTCCTTCCCCGTAAGCCATGCAACCCACATTGCTCCCTTCTCCGTTCCTCCCTGCATGCCCTAGGATGAAGAAGGGGTGGGCCTGTGTCTTCCTCCAAATTCCCTCTCCCTTGCTCGACCTCTCCCCTGCTCTGCCCAGCTGGACTTTGCCCTTCCCCAGTTTCTTCCACAGCCAACAGAGCCACACTCCCACATTCCTTGAGTGCATAGTTAGGTATATTCTTTCAGCATAATTCTTCTTGGGGTACTTCGGCTGGTGTGAAAACGCAGTTGATTTTCATTGATTCCTATCTGCAGTGCCATTTTCCACACTGAAGAACTCATGGCCCTCTAGATTAGATATTTGAGGAAAATGAGAATTGCATAGAGGACCTGCTTTTTTAAAAATGCGGTCTTCTCTGATGAGGGCCCAGATAGTTGGGGGCAATAGGCTGACTCTGTAAACCGCTTAGAGAGAGTTATAAAGCACTGTAAAGTGGTATACAAGTCTAAGTGCTATTACTGTTTGTTATTGGAAATGCTCTGTTGAATGTAAAGCCTTCTGGGCATAGAAAAAACTCTTTGGTCCACAGAAAGTAAAATTTAAGTTAAGGTTGGTTTCAGGAAGTTTGCCTAGATCCATTTACAGAATAGCCTTTCCCACAAAGGGCTCCCATTTCATCTCCTGTCCAAGATATATTACAGTCTTTCTTTAATCTTGTGGCTATTTCCGATGGAGCATACTACCTAGTTGTGTTTCCTTCTTATGCATCCCTAGTTTTTTGTTTGTTTGTCTGTTCATTTGTTTTAATGAAAATAAGATTGAACACTTGTTGAGATGATAAATTTCCGTCTTAATTATATGTGTGATTCCTTTATTGTGATTCCTGTATTCTCTAACTTCTCACTCTGATCATAATTATTGAAAACAAAGGAGGAATTTTTTTTGCAGAAAATAAAAAGTTACATAAGGCCTAAAATAAGCATGTCACAATTTTAAAATTCCTGCAAAGTCCCCTCCCAAACTCAACCAGTCCCTTATTTGTGACACTTTGCCCTCCAGATACTGCAATATTCAGCCATCCAAAACATGACAACTTCTTGACAAGAAACCTTTTCTCCGAAATATAGTGTAATTTAGTGTAAAACTAAATTAAAGGCAGTGTAAAAATGTGATTTATGATAGTAGGACATTGATGACTATGATAGCAATCCTATCAATCTCAGTTTGCTTAGATCTGCAATAGTGTAGATGTCCTTTTCAAGATTTGACTGCCATCAGAGGCCAAATTGTTTCATATGGGTGAGGGCCTTCTTAGACTAGATGTATTTGGACTTAGACCCAACTGGATGTTTTTGGCCCCCAATTTCCCAATATTTGGGAAAATAATGAAAGCCCATCTGTTTCACCAATTGTGGATTGGATTTTCTCTGTTGCTATGTTCTATATAAATTACCAAACCATCTTGAGTGTTCTATGGCTAGAACAGCAGGCTACAAAGTTAACAAATCAGTAAATGACAGTGTACAAATTGTTTGCCAAATTAAAATCTTACAAAGCTGATAGATACATGCTGTAGTTTCTTGATAACTTCGTTACAGAACAAACTGGAAACTCTCTTGCATAAATACGATACGCTCTGTCAAATGAATTCCAAGAGAAACTTGCAATTAGAATGGGCTCAATCTCTGGTTAGCCAATTCTGGGAGACTTACGAAGAGATTTGGCCATGGCTAACTGAAACAGAGACGATCATCTCACAGCTTCCAGCACCAGCTCTTGAATACGAAACTCTGAGGCAGCAGCAAGAAGAACATCGGGTAAGTGTTTGTGGAGATTCGCAATCATTCAGGTCATGGTTGTCTCAGAGGACAACTCTTTGGGACCACATTGGGTCAGGTTGCAAGCACCTTTGAAAGTGTCATTGATTCCAAAAATACAAGAGCATATTCTTTTCCTTATAAGAAATCCCATGATTTTTAAAATAATTAGGGATGTGCAGTTTTTACACCTTTATTGTCTCTTTCTCTCTGATTTGCAATAAGTAGTCCTCAACTTATGACCACAATTGAGCCCAAAATTTCAGTTGCTAAGCGAGACAGTTGTTAAATGAGTTTTGGTCTATTTTACGACCTTTCTTGCCACAATTGTTAAGTGAATCACTGCAGTTGTTAACACACTGGACACAGTTGGTTAAGCACATCTGGCTTCTCCCTAGACTTTGCTTATCAGAAGGTCGCAAAAGAGGATCACATAATCCTGGGGGCACTGCAACCATCATAAATACCAGTCAGTTGCCAAATGTCTGAATTTTGATCACGTGACCATGGGGAGGCTGCAATGGTCATAAGTGCGTAAAACGGTCATAAGTCACTTTTTTTCAGTGCCATTGTAACTTTGAGCAGTCACTAAATGAACTGTTGAAAGTTGATGACTACCTGTATTGCTTTTGTACTTTCAATTTGTTATCTTCTAAAAAATTAAATTTGGATTATATACTTAATTTGAGATTATTTTCAGAGCCAGAGAAGCAATTAATAAAGACTGAATTTCATAAACAGCAGTGTCCTAAAATGAACTTTTATACTTCAGGGCATAGTTATAACCATATGATAATATATATGTTTTGTGTTTTTATAGTGAAGGTGAAAACAAAGAACTTAAAGGATAAAATTCAACTTTAGTCCTTCTTAGAATAATCTAGAAACTGACAAGAATTAAGTTAGCGTTTAATTTAAATAATTGGGACTCTCCTAAATAAATATCATTTCATGGCATACTTCATTGCACTTAATTTTAGAAGTATACTATGAAAACCAGTGCTTTGAACAACCAGGATATTTTAAAAAACAGACTAGAAAGTGTAGGCAGAAAACAGAATAACATAGGACAACTAATAAAAACATTCAGCCAGTTATCCAGCACTAGAAATGATTTATTAAGTACCAGCATTGTAAAAATTTCCAAATTGTTTAAATGTGACTAAAAATAGCTTGCTAGTGTTTGAGAGTGCTATAACAAGCAGGCAAGTCAGAATGTTTTCAATTTTTATTCATAATGCACTGGCTTATTCATTTTTTTTTTACATCTATAGAAAGTATGGCTGCAATATTTCCTTTTAAGTGTACTATAAGTAGAAAGCAATTTCTCTCACTTTATTCAGTTACAGGTGAAAGCAGTTTGGCAAGAGGCTTGTGGTGAAATGCACACATCCAGTATGAGTTACACTTTGGCCTTGTTTTTAGGAGAGATGCTTAGATTTTTCTTGCTCTTTGAATTTGTAGCAGATGTAGACAACTAGAATGTGGCATAGTAACGCTGAGATACTGAAAGTATTTTGTTCTGTTAAAGCAACTGCGAGAGTTGATTGCTGAGCATAAACCTCACATAGATAAGATGAACAAAACTGGACCTCAACTCCTGGAGCTGAGCCCACAAGAGGGATTTTTAATCCAAGAGAAATATGTAGCAGCTGATGCTCTTTACAGTCAAATTAAAGAAGATGTCAAAAAGCGGGCCCAAACACTGGATGAAGCCATTTCTCAATCAACTCAGGTATTTGGGGAGGGGGGGGGGTTGTTGCTGTTTATTTGTTTTTGTTTTTCTCTAGAAGGACAGCAGATAAATTCCCTTTGGACAGTTCTGCTAATTTATATCATTGTATTTACAGTATATATTCGGCTTATCAAGAGTACCAGTCACCATATGCTAGGTGAAAAAAAAATCACATCATGGTTACATAAATTTATTTTTCTTATCTGCTCGATCAGAACCCCTGAGAAATCTGTTTGGTATAACAGAAAATAATATGATTGTCTCAAAAAAATAGTTTGAGGATACTTTTGTGATAAATACTAAATATATACATTTTCTCAACTTATAAATTTTTTTCTCCAAAATAAAAAGCAGGGCAGTGTGTTTCCACAGAATCTTAGTCAACATGTCAGTCTATCCACCCTCACTTATGCTCATGCACACATACTAACTAGCTTTATTGTTCAGTGAACTTTGGCTTAAGAGTGCTTGTCAACAGCAGATGTCTTCAATATAAATCTACCCAAGGTTAAAATAAAATGAATTCTCCAAGTGACATTTTTAAATATTGTTGTAGGAATTCACTCTTTCTTGGTACTAGGAAGCAATGATTTGTTGCATTTACTATAAATGGGCTGCAACTTCTTTAGAGGCTACTCCTAGACAAGGCTTTCATTGTGCAGTCTTCCCATTCCTGTTACAGAATTTGTGACAGGGCTACAGACATCTTCCATTTGTAATAGTGGGCTTCTTGTATAATATCTTTTGTCCTTCTTTTCTTACACAAAACCCAGCAAAAGAGAAAAATGTAATAGCTGCCCAATGACTTTGGACTGGTAGCACTAAGGCCCCTCCACATGGAAGTACTATAAACTTCTGATAGCATTTAGCTTAATTAACTAAGCACTGGCACCTAACCTTAAGAAATATCAAGTAGGAATCTCCCTCTTTCTCTCTGACTGACTTCATCCTGTCCAGAAACAGAGATTGCATTAGACAGCTGAGGGGTTACTTAAAAGTTCCATGTCTGATGAAACATAGTAACATTTAAATTAAATCGTCTGTTTTAATAATTTAGACCAGCAGTCCCCAATCTTTTTGGTTCCATAGACTGGAGGGCGAGGATGGTTTCATGCATTCAGCTTAATCCCATACGTGCACAAATAAAGCTTCACGCATTCGCCCACCGCTTACAATCTGGGGTTAGGTACCCCTGATTTAGAATACAATACTAGATATAAAATCATATTAATTGAAGATACTTTCACAAAAGCATGTTAACCAAGAATATTGATGCAGTAAAAAAATCTTTCCTAGTGATATCATTTAAAAATAAGACTCAGGATTAATTAAATCTATAATAGATTGACACATGTATAAAATGTTTGCATTCCATTGATTTGCTTACTGAATAGGAACAAACTCACTTAATGATCAAAAGAAAAGAGAATAATTTTGTCTGAAAGTTTGTATTTTATGGTTCTTTTTATCTTCATAGATTCACATCATAATAAGAGAGTAAAGCTGTAGAAATAATAGCTAGATAGCGTATATACTTGATCCATATAATTCTTTCTCTGCATAAAGAAGTGGGAAATTGGATGTGTGATTGAATGTCTACATGAAATCTCTTGGTCATATCCAGTATTACTCTTTTGAGAAATAGAAGAGAGAGAGACAGAATTATGGTGGTGGTGGTGCTGCTGCTGCTGCTGATATCCATTTAGTTTTGTCCAACTCTTAGCGGTTCTATGGGCAAGTCTCTCTGCATCTTCCAATCTTGCACTATGCTCTTGGTGTCAGCTTTAATGTAAATACTTCGTTGGACAATAGCCCTCCCCCCACCCTTCTGATTTGATTTGGTTCTTTGGGGGGGCGTTTTTTTGTGTCTCACCCAGTTGCCCCCACTTATTCCTTCTCTATTGCAGTTCCATGATAAGATAGATTCAACTATTGAGAACCTGGACCGGATCGCTGAACGTTTGCGGCAGCCACCTTCAATCTCAGCTGAAGTGGAAAAGATTAAAGAACAGATCAGTGAAAATAAGAATGTCTCTGTAGATTTGGAAAAACTACAGCCAGTGTATGAAACTCTCAAACTGCGTGGAGAAGAAATGATTGCACGTTCAGAAGGAGCTGATAAAGATATATCTGCTAAAGGTAATGGAGGTTACCAGATTGGAAAATTCTCCCTTATTTTTTGTTGGAAGCATTAAAAAGAAAAATACAAACATCTGCAATAGAAGAATTATCTTGTATTAGCTGTTTCTGAAGGAAGGCATATACATTTCAAGTTTTATATATAGTTGTATGTGTATTACTTTATATTCCATTATTTATCTGATCCTTTAATAGCACATTTTCAATCCCATAATATTTATATTACAAGATAAATGCATAACATATAATCTACAAGTTCCTCTCAAGGACATGTAGATTGCTCTGCCTGGGTAACTGTCGTGTTATTTTGCTGTCTAGTTGTTCAGGATAAGCTCGATCAGATGGTCTTTATCTGGGAGGATATCCATGCTTTGGCTGAGGAAAGGGAAGCAAAGCTCCTTGATGTCATGGAATTAGCAGAGAAGTTCTGGTGTGATCATATGGCTCTCATAGCCACCATCAAAGATACTCAAGATTTTATCAGAGAACTAGAAGGAGCAGGGATTGATCCTTCAGTGGTGAAGCAACAGCAGGAAGCAGCAGAGGTAAATAAAATACGTGACAATATCTAAAGGATGAAATTCTGTGCTCACTTCCTGGAAAAGATACATTAAGTACCATATTCCTTCTTCAAATCAGAATCATTATTGGATAATTCTAAGTAGGTTTCTATCAGTATGCAAATTTCAGAAGACTTCACCATCCATGAATGTTAAGGTGTAGATAGAGCACTTGATATCCTAATACCATTTTTTTGAACTATTACCATCTGGCAGATGATACAGGATAATAAAAACAAGGACAAATCGGCTGAAAAATAGCTTCTATCCCAGGGCAGTAACTCTATTGAATTCTACTGTATAGTGCAATATTAATGCAATATCAGGGGTTTTCAATTCAATTTGTAGAGTGTGAGGGATGTGTGTTTGTGTTTATTTTCATAGTCATAAATTGTACACTAAAGATGGTATTTAATTTTGTTGTACAAGGTGCAATGACAATAAAGTAAACTAAACTAGACCATGGTATCAAGCTCACATTCTCTCCTCCCCACTCCTCTACTTTTCATCCTGTCCCTTATTCAAAAAGCTAAGTAGGCGCGGACCTAGATCAACTCGCATCATCACAGCATTGTCACGTGACATTCTGTGACTTTTCCCCCCTTCACTAAACTGGGTGTGGTCAGCATGTGATGCATCTGGGCCACAGGTTTTGAGTTTGACAACCCTGACTTAGATAATACTTTGTTGGGAGACCTTTATAGAATCCTAGGACTGTAAGCTAGTTTGGAAGAAAAACGATATCTCAGGGAAGGCAATGTCCGTCTTCTCCTGCACAGGGACACTTTCATGAAGTCACTAGATTCTACTTGGACTTCAAGGAGGAGATGTTGTATTGTATTTTTTTCAGTCCTAGAAATAGACATTCCATCACAATGGCTTGTGTTCATGTAGAAAAATAAGTGCCACCAAGACTTTCTCTATAGATTATGCTATCATATTAAAGCTTAAGAAATGTGAGCTATGAGAAAAATATTTTTAAAGGGATGCTAATATTCACCTTATTTTCTAAGAATTATGGGGGATGTATTTGTAATATTAATTCCTTGAAATACCAGGAATACTAAAGTGCTTCTGCATTAACTTCCTATAGAGTTGGGAGAAGAGATCAAAGTTCTTGACCATCAGGCAACATACAAGTTTAATTATTATAGTTATTGAACGTAGATAATATGTTGTGCTCTTTAAATACCCATAGTAAATAAACCATGTTTGTCACTAAAGCTAATTTGCTTTTCCTAAATATTAGTATGATAGTTTACAAAATCATGTTTTTTTTTTTATCTAGTCCATCAAAGAAGAGATAGATGGGCTACAAGAAGAACTTGATGCCGTTGTGAATCTTGGTTCTGAACTCATAGCTGCATGTGGTGAACCTGACAAACCATTAGTCAATAAAAGTATTGATGAGGTACTGATCACATAAACATTTGATGCTTGATGGTTGTCTGAAGGGACTAGAAACCTCTAATTTTGGGACAGCATAGCTTATATTGTGTCAGACACTGATTTAGTTATACCAAATTGTCAGTATCATGATCTCAATTTTTTTTTTAGTTCTAATAATAATTGAACTGTATATTTTCAACATACATGGCTTATGGTCTTCTTTAGGCTGTGGGCCTAAAGTTTGAATGAAAGGAATTCTAATCTTAATTGGAAATTACGTTAACTTTTAGAAACTAATTAGAACTCTTCCCCCTCCTTGCAATTTTAGGGAGACTTAGACTATTCTTTGCATTGTTATCAATGTTTATATATATATGTATGTATGTATGTATGTATGTATGTATATTTAAAGTCTTAAAACTCTTGTTCACAATTTAAAATATAGCTAAATTCCATTTGGGATGGTTTAAATAAAGCATGGAAGGAACGTGTTGACAAACTTGAAGAAGCTATGCAGGCTGCTGTTCAGTATCAAGATGGACTACAGGTACACTTTTTAATTAAGTTTGTTTATAATCTTTGTGTGGTAGGATATTTAGAAAGGCGTTTCTTAAAAATGAAACTACCAATTAGGGATCATGAAATATTTTAATAAACACCTACTTATTCCTCAAAATCTATAAACGTAGGGTTGTGCATGTTTTATGATTTGGCAAAAGCACTTCTGATCAGAAAAGTGATTATTTTTGTCTTTTTTTTTGTAAGTGATGGGGGTCAGGGAGAAGGTTGGGAGCGTTCTTTGGGAATCTTTTCACCCACCCATCCATTTCCAAGATCCCTCAAACTACACTGTGTTCAGAAGTCTATCCCAAATCCAAAACCTTTCCAAAGGGGTCTAGGACAGCCTGAGAAAAAAAACAGAAATAATGTTGAAGAAACTGTGGCGGACAACATTTATTGCATTGATTTATCCAATGTGGAATTGTCCATGGCGAGATGTCCCGTGGTAAGATGGCCGCAGTGAGTTGACCACAGCAAAGTGTCCATTCCATTTCCAAAGACTATGCAATTTGAGGAAACATTTCCCAGAGAAGTAGGGTCCCAAAAGAGACAACAAAGGCAGTGAGGCACTAGGCGCAAAAAGTGAAAAGGGAACTGGGATAGAAGGCAGCTGGACGAAGGAATGCTCACTACTGTTTGATGGGAAATGAAGAAATGCTCGCTGGCTTGCTTGCTGGGGCAGACTGGAACCACATGGGGCTTGGAAGAGAAGGCAGCTGGGCAAATAAATATTTGCTGGCACTTACTGAGACTTCCTGGGTTTTGGCAGGCAGCCAGGGAATATATGGTTCTGCGACTGCTTGTGGCCCCACAAGGTAATGTGTAGGGCAACCAAAAGAACAGAGATGTGGGGGAGACAGGTGGGTGGGAGGAGTGGAAGCATCTCAGTAGTATAAGTGTGCGTGGGCTACAAAGTGCCGAAATTTTGATCATGCTGGGGCGCTGCAATGGCCATAATTTCAGGCACAGGTCGTAACCCTTCCCCCCCAGCAACATCAATTTCAAACAGTCACTGAATGAATGGTTATAAGTCAAGGATTACCTGTAGTAGATCAAGAGATACTCTACTGAAAGTGTATACAGGTAGTCTTCAGCCAACATCCACAACTAGTTCTGGAGTTTCTGTTGCTAAGCATTGTGATAGTTAAGCAACATCACATGACTTGGCCTGATTTTATGACCACTTTTATCAGGGTCATTACGTGAATCACCACCATCATTAAGTAAATTAGGTTTCGCCAATTGATTTTGCTGGTCAGAAAGTGGCTGGGAAAGTTGTAACTTGTGATCACATGACCACCAGACACTGCAACCATTGTAAATGCGAGCCAGTTGCCAAGTGTCCAAATGGATGTAAGTCACAAATTCTGATGCTGATGTAACTTTGAATTATCAAACTAATGGTCATAAGTTGAGAACTATCTCTATTTATTCAGTTACCATCAGAGTTCAGGTACCCTGACATTTGATTTATCTGTAGATTTTTCAAGCAAAGTCTTTGAAAAGTATAAGTGGTTAAATTATGGAAAAAGATTAAACATTAAATCTTTTGTCAGCCTCTTTGCTGTACATTTCCATATTAAATGCCCCCTTTAATATATCAATAAATCTATAAAATCTCTTCAGTAGTTCAAAATTGTTTTTCTTCTGCAATTTTTTATAGTGCGGATTTGTGTGGATTTGAACAAATTTCATTTGATTTAAGTTCAAACTATTCATAGTTATTTGTGACGTCTATAATGTTAGAAGGTTGGATTTCACTCAGTGAACATCATCTCACATGTTATAAAATCCTATTGTATTACCTCATTGATCTTACTAAATATTACCCTGTTCAGCACATTATACATTTTAACATAATTGGGTCATTTACAATTCCAAATGAAATCTCTGCTTCACCACTTTGGCTCATAGACATTATCCATCTATGACAGATAATGCATATTATCTATACCAAAAATTTTCCAATAGTTAGAAGTATTTTGCTTAAATGGCAATCTCGTACTCATTATCTAAACAGGTCCCATTAAGCTTAGTAGACTAAGTGATTAGTCTACCAAGTACTGATTTGAAGTCAGTTTCTTCTATTACATGTTGTCATCTTTTAGGGCTGAGGAAATGTTCCTTCTCTGGAGCAGCCCCCATTCTCTGGAGCAGCATCTCCCAGAGATAAGCACAGTGTCCTCTTTGAGAAATAAAAATTAAAGGATGGGAAAATGGGCTTGTGTCCATGCCCCATCCCCGTCTTCACTTCTGGGCAGCATTTTTTTTCCCAGCATAAAGGGCAAAAGCTGCAAAGCTCACCCCTCCAGGCTGTAGGGAAATAGTCTAAATCTAATGGCACCTTTACTTCAACCAGGAAGAAGCTTCCACTAGTGGGAAGTTACCCATCATTGCAGCTCCAAAGAAAATGCTGCTAAACTGCTTTCCTGGCATTTCCTGTGGAGTTAGAACTGAGCTGAAAGTTAATGACATAGCTTCCCGACCTTAAAGGAAGCCTCACTACGTTTTTGGTGTTGAGAAGGACTGCATCAATGTCAAGTCTGTGGCATCTCTAGCTGTAAGATTCCATATCGACAAGTTCTTAGAGTTGACTGAGGACATCTTTATTGTAGTTACATAGAGATATATTGGCACTTGTGGCAGATGCAGAATGGCAGATGCACCATCATGATGCTGTCCCAAACACACACACAATAGAAGCAGGACTTGTATCTTGCCTATTTTCTCTCTCTCTCCCTCCCCCCACCCTCTCTCTCTCTCACACACACACACATACACCCCAACTCTCATGACCTGATGTATAAATGTATACATTCTTGCAGTTCTTCTCATATAACAAAGAATATTCCCTGTATATTTAGTTCATTGTTAATATGCTACATCATTATTTGCCCTGTTATTTTAATTGTATTATTTTAACAGGCTATGTTTGACTGGGTGGATATTGCTGGTAGTAAATTGACTTCAATGTCACCAGTTGGAACAGACCTAGAAACAGTAAAACAGCAAACAGAAGAGCTGAAGGTATAAAATTTAACTTTCTCTTTTAATTTTTTTTTGTGAGGGGATAGTGTTTTCCAACTTCTTTGTATGGTATATAAATTGAATTACTTCCTGTCTTGTAAGTATGACATAAAATGAATTTCTTTCTTTTTTGCAAAAGATAATTGTGAGGGGTATTTTTAATAAACAAGGTTATTTTTTCTGACTGCCTTGTTTTCTTAAGCACTCTTTTTCCCCTTTAAAGTATGGGCAAGCTCCTTAGTTTTGGATACCATGGATTATTCTTAAATTTTCAGAATTCATTCCCTTTCTAGCCTTTCTACCCCAGTGAATTCCAAAAGATGGCTTAGAATGAAAAGATGACTCATTCTCTTCATAATACCTGGATACTTAATTGTGCATTTTACACAGGAAGCAAAGATTATGTGGGATATCCTGTTTTGCAGCACTGTTTTAGACTAGATGATCCACTGTAACTCTAGTTTTTGCGTGTGCAAAGATGAGGTAGACAAGTTGTAAAAATAAACAGGAAACCATCAGCCAAAGTATGCTTTTACAATAGTTTGACACTGAAAATTTAGGATTCCAACATTTCTATTAGAATTGAAAGCAAGGATTAAGAAATCATTAGGGATTGAATCAGGCAATCGTAGCGATACATCATCCTGGTTTAGCAGCATGTGAAACATTTCTGCTTGTCTCTGCTTCACTGTTTTGTAATCACTGCATAACTCACCCAGATGCACAATATCTTTACTAGAGAGAAAGCTGGAGCCACAGAAACCAAGTCAATTTTTTTAATGCTTGTCAAAGGGATTGGGGTGGGGAGGGATGGGAGAAGTCCACGGTATCATAAGCTTCGTTAGAAGAGAAAGCAGTACCCAATGGGATCCTTCTCATGGGGGTCTTCGGAAAAATTGCCTTCCCTCCTCCCCCCGTATGCCTAGATCAAATTGTGTTATATGTATCTGTTCTTAAGTTTGGACTAGTAAGGTTTATTCAAAAGGACTTTAGAGCTTTGAAGCAATGGCTTTCAATAAAATGGGAGTGTAATGGATCAGAAATCCCTAAAAGTTGAAATGCAATACAAAAAGTAGGCTGTGTGTTATTCTCCTCCACAACTATGCATCTAGAAAAAAATTATCTGATTTATTTTACTTCCTCCTGTCATAGGCCTCAGTTTTAAAAAATAGGAAGAGATTTTTTTTTTAAAAAAAAAAGAATACAGTGAATATGTCCACATGGTAGCCATCTACTCTGATTCTATTCCAGACAGAAAGAAGGTAAAGAGTTGCAGAGTTTTGGACTTGTCAAAGCTTTGCATTGTAAGTTACCCAGGAATCCTAACTGTTCAGTCACAGATGAGGATAACACCCTTGTGTATGATAGATATATTACTGTGGTTCCTTTCTCTTCAGTTAATTTCTTCTGGGGATGGAGTAATCTCTGCACCAGGTGTAATTTGGTTCAGTCACTTCCAGTGCAGAGCTCTATCAACATTACCTTCGTTTTGAGGAAGCTTTGAAAGACTTCCTGTTTTATAGACTAATAAATTGAGTGTGAAATATTTCGGACATAAAAATGATGAAGTATGCTGTCCATTTATATTTCAGGGGGGAAAGTGTGCTTTAGTTGTCTAATTTATGAAGAATAGTAAGTTAGAAAGTTCTGTGGATTGCATCCTGTTCCCAAAAAGGTCTTTCATTCAAAACAGGCTTCCCCTAGGAAGAAGAAAAGATCTTCAGCATTTTATAGTAATTTTTTTTAGAGACATTGGGTTCCTTTGTGCTTTTTGCTAAAAAAAAAAATAGTTTTCCTTAAACAGAAACCTGTTCAGGGGAAGACTGACACTAATTTTCACAATAAACTAGTAAGGTCAAGGTGGTATTCCCCTTTGATATTTTGTGTCCTTGAATTTCTACAGCAATTTAAAAAAGAAGCCTACCAACAACAGATAGAAATGGAACGACTGAACCATCAGGCCGAACTGTTGTTGAAAAAAGTCACAGAGGAAAGTGAGAAGCATACTGTTCAAGATCCTTTGTCTGAACTCAAGCTATTATGGGAATGTCTAGAGGATAAAATCGTTAGCCGCCAGGTAAATTGGGTTTGGCTAAAAGCTTACTCTACATAGCAGCACTGAACTGAAGGCATTAAAATCTCTGAATTTCAAGTGCAAGCATATCATTTGTTGTAATTAATACATAATGGTGTCTAATTAATTATGTGTATTAAATATTGATCAGATATATGCTTGGTCATTCTATTTCTTTTGAGAATTTTTAAACAAGATATAACAAGTTGAAAAGAAAATGGCACAACAAACATTAATGTCCCCAGCAAGTTTCTGAGCTTGCTATGTTTCCCACCAGATTAATAGTAATAGATTTCTTGCTAGTTTTCTTTTTCCTAATTCCTTTTCCCCTCCTTATGATCAAATTGTTTAAAAAGCTATGTTTTGTACTCTAAATCATGTTATATTACCTATTATGTTTTAGTAATATCATTTTTAAAAATGAGAAACCAAGATACTGCAACAAGAGCATGTTCTTGGACTTCGATGTTATCATGAAATTGTAAAGTCACAGACTTTTACATTAATCTCTCATGAAGTAAATGAGACAAATGCAAGCCACTCAAGAATTATTAAATAATCACAATAAAATATGTTACTAACTTTAAATGTTCTTCTCTAATCTGGTTTTCAGATTATAGTTTATATGTAAAATAATTTTTGGATGGCACTTATAGGCGTTCATATGAATTTCCCACACACTTTGAGATGATTGAAGATTTAGCATGATTTCAATTTTTTATATTCTTGTTTTTGAACAGCATAAACTGGAAGGTGCTTTATTGGCTTTGGGGCAGTTCCAGCATGCTCTGGATGAATTGCTGACATGGCTGACACACACTGAAGACCTGCTGAATGAACAGAGGCCAGTGGGAGGTGACCCCAAAGCTATTGAAATTGAGCTGGCCAAACATCATGTACGTAACTGGCATTTCTGGGCTTCATTGTTAGATAAGATTACTGAATGGAAATAACTGCTCCATATTAACAGTTAAAATAGGTCAGATTTTGAAAAAAGGTCTTTATAGGAGCTCAAATCTCAACAGAGTGCATTAATGCAGGACTCAGGAAAAAGCAAGCATATTTCAGAAGCCAAACTTCTGTACAGACAAATGATAGAAGTCCACAATCAGTCAGGAAATCGGAAGGAACACATATTCAGGAACTCAGGTCCAAGGCTTGAAAATTTTGTTTCCTAACTGAAGACTGACTCCCAAGCCCCTTTTTTTAGCACTGATGCCTACATGCCTATTTTCTTGAGTCATGTCTCTCTTGTTTTGCCTACTTTATTTTATTTATCTATCAAATTCATATAGCCACCCAAGAAATGACTCTGGGTGGCATGCAGCAAAAATATATAAAATAATAAACATACCAAACACAGTCACATTACAAAAGATTTTTCTGCTTGTGTGCAGGAAAGATACTTTCCTCCTATTCAGGTTGTAGGTTAGGTGACTCTAACTTGCTGCTATGCTTTTGGAACAGGTATCTGATTTCCTGCTGGTTACACAATAATTACACATGGCATGCTTTATGTTCCGCTTTCAAAAAATAATGTCCAAACAAATAAAATGCGCATTAAATTAAATGCTGTATACAAGTAACATCAAGACAAACTATAATTTTAAATACATTTATATAGGGATGATCTGAACAAGTGGGCACAGTGAATGCGCTTTTTTGAGTTTTAAAACCTTAGAAGGAAAAAAAATGCACTGAGAAAAAATAAAAAGAAATAGGAGAAAGCTTCCAATTTTCTCTTCAGCAAATATGTGTGATTACAAAGTTATCTCTTGCTCTGTGACGGGTGTCAAACTCACGGCTTGTGGGCCGAATGCATCATGTGCTGGCTCCAGCCTCGCCCGGTTTAGCAAAGGGGAAAAAAGTCCCGATACGTCACAGACAACGCCATGACAACGCAAGTTTGACACCCCTGCTCTGTGATTACCAAAAGGCTCACTTTTTTCTATTATACTTTTTTTCCATTAAAAACAGTCTCTCCCTCCCCATCCCCTCATCTCAAACTCATAGGGTTAAAAGTCATATATAAATAAAACAAATAATAATAAATAATCTTTGGAATTTGAGAATTTTAGCTTGTATTTATGAGAGGAACCCTCACATCTCACCCCCATATCAATAACCACAATATAAACAATATGGTCTGTACTTGAGGTACATTAAATGAATCAATAAGACATATGCTGATTTGACAGAATCATGATGGTGCAGTGATTAGAATGCAGTATTGCAGGCTAATTTTGCCCATAAGCAGGAGTTCAATTCTGACCAGCTCAAGGTTGACTCAGTCATCCATACTTCCAAGTCAGTAAAATGAGGACCCAGATTGTTGGTGGCAATATTCTGACCCTGTAAAACTTCATAGAGAAGGGGCTGTAAAGCACTATGAAGTGGTATATAAGTCTAAGTGCTATTGCTATTGACTCTAGAGCAGTGTTTTTCAACTTTGGTAACTTTAAGACGTGTGGACTTCAAACTCCCAGAATTCTCCATCTGCTCTAGAATATCCCAAATAAGTAAGCGTTGTTATTCAAAGTGGATATCTTTTATATCTCAAAGGAATATGCTCAATTATATGAACCTTCTAATTTGTACTATTTCTAAATATTTCCAGTTAGGCTTTATTGAAATGATGAAATTACAGAGGGTAACTGAATGAAATGAGTGATTAAAAAAAAACCCAGAAAGGAATTACATGTTTTTGCTCCTTCAGATTTTGCAAAATGATGTCTTGGCTCACCAGTCTACTGTGGAAACAGTTAAAAAAGCGGGAAATGATCTGATTCAATCAAGTGCTGTAGAGGAAGCTAGTAATCTGCAAAGCAAACTTGAGCTTCTGAATCAACGATGGCAAAATGTCTTGGAAAAAACAGAAAAAAGGAAGCAGCAGCTGGACAGTGCTTTGATCCAGGTGTGTATGAGAAGTGTAAAAGATCATCCAGGTGTTACTGAGTTAAATTTGGGTCTATTGAAGCCAAAAGTAGGCACTTTAAAATTCTCCTCGCACTTTGCTATCTCTGCAATAGAAAAACATGAGAAAATACTTTTTTATAAATTACTAATAGCTTGAAATACTCAGTTAAAATCTTAAACTGGACAGATTGTTCTGTATATATTTTTAGCTTCCAAGTGAAAATTCCGAGTCATAAATTGGGATTTGAAGTGTAAATCCATTATCATAAATACATTTTACATAATTGGTATAAGATTACTTAGGTTTTTTTTCATTTTTTTCTTCTCACTCAACATTTCACTATATGTATAATTTTTTAAAATTAAATTTAACATTTTTGTTTTGTTTAGGGAATTCTTAATTTAACTGCATTTTCTTTTAGGTTTGTAGGCTTTTAAAAAACCTGTGATTTACTATGTTCAACTTTTGCAGTGTCTTAGCTGATACAGCACGCCTGTGTAATGAAATATGTTATGATGACATTTTGTTTAGGCCCAGGGTTTCCATGGTGATATTGAAGACTTACAACAATGGCTGACAGAAACTGAGCGTCACCTTTTGGCATCAAAGCCTGTTGGTGGCTTACCAGAGACTGCAAGAGAGCAGCTTAATACCCATATGGTAAGGATCTTAGTAGTGCAGATGGCCCAAATTTGGAAACTAACGCTTTGTGGCTGTTTGGAATGAAAAATTTGCAAATTCTGCACAAGAAAATAACGCTAAAGGCATTAATTTAGTAAATTACCATAAGTGAACAATCTTCACATTAATTTAGAGACAAAAACAATTTTAAGGAAATATGGGATCTCTGGTTAGCTGCTATAAAGTTGTATATATAATTTATATTCTTCCACTTGTCCTAATACCAAACTGTTAATTATCTCCAAGTTCTCCAAACAGAGAACTTACTATTATGTGTCTTAATCTCTCAACTTTATTGTCCATTTATTATTTCTTGATTCATCCAACTCCAATTGCCAGTGTTTAAAGACAGAATCTTTTTTTTTTCTGTGTCCAGACAGCACAGTTGTATTACTTTATTTTCAGTGAGTTGAAGGCTCATTAAAATATGCCTATCTCCAGGACTTGGAACATAACATACCCAGGTCCAATTTTACTTGCATATTCATAACTTACAGTTAGTGGTTTGGTAAGCCTTGCCAAAATTCCAGTCTAGGTCTGAAATGCAAAGATGTGATTGAGAATGCCTCCCTCTTGGGTAGACTTTTTCTTTAATGTCTTTCTTTGCATCTGAGTAATAAATCAGATTTTCCTGGGTTATTTTGCAGTTGCAGAAATGTCCCAAAGGTGCTTTTTCAAGAGGCAACTGGGCTTTTCTGGTTTTTCTTTGAAGACATATCACTTCTCGTCCAAGAAGTCACAGAAATGCTTTGCTAAAGTTAAAGGCATTTTTATTCTAGGAAAAAAAAAATCACTAAATAATAAAGTTTTTCTGAATTTGGAATATGCCTATTTTTTCTTATGGATTGAAGACTCCACAGATGGAATTATCTTTGATCTCACATGATCCCAGAATTCTTCAAGGCTAGTTGTGCAAAATAACTTTGAACATGAGTTAACAGATAACATTAAAATATTTGCTTAAATATTTATTCAAAGTACACGACAAATAGAATGCCTATAAAAACTTAGGAAACTCATTCATTTGACTAACATTTTTTAAATTGTTGATTCATTTTGACCAAAGAATGCACACAATTCTGTATGCTATTATGGACACATTCCTATAAACATCTGGTGACTGTTTCATATTATCCACAATGTGTTTTTCGTAACTCACACAACCTTCCCCCCCACAAAACTTGAGCCCATAGTCCCTACAACTGCTTTAGAGGTTAATAATTTAGAATCAACATTGATTGTAAATGATGTGGCCTATTCTCGCTTTCTGTCTAGGAACTTTGTGCTACCTTTGAAGCTAAGGAGGAAACATACAGATGTCTGATGCAGAAGGGCCTACAGATGCTTGCAAGATGCCCAGAGTCTATGGAAACTAATGTTGAGCAGGATATAAATAATCTTAAAGAAAAATGGGAATCAGTAGAGACCAAACTTAATGAAAGAAAAGTATGTTATAGAAGGAATGTGATAAATTTGTCTGCGCATTTAGGAAGCTTAAATGTTAGATTATTTTCAGTGTAGGAGAGTTTTGAGGTTCTTTAGCAAGAGTTAATGGAACCATGTAGTCTGTATAGTAAATAATGCCAAACATCCATGCCCATAAGAAAAACTGTATCAGTAAACTGTAAGGAGTAGTCCAGTGTCTCTAAAACAAAAACATCTTTTTAGAATCTATAGAATCATAGGCAACAGTTCCCTAATCCATCATTTTACCATTTGGAAATACACAGTACGCTTTAAGAGCATTGTTGATACTGTGAATATAACAGTTCTTCAGAGTGTTAAGCGAAGAGACCATGTTGCGTCTAGGGAGTCCGGAGCAACTTACTGATAAACATATGCTTTCATAGAAGTAAACATGATTTACTTCTCAGTTAAACAGTTTAATCTGATTTGGACTATATGTTTCATCTGGAAGCCATAGAAATACAAATATAAAAGGCAGAAGTGAATGAATGAATAAACCAAGAGATTTGGAGGGAGAAAAGCTTTTGGATGGATGGATGGGTTTGTTTGTTTATTTATTTATTTACTTATTTATTCATATGCATGTAGTCCTCGACTTATGGCCACAATTGATCCCAAAATTTCTGTTAAGGGAAATAGTTGTTAAGTGAGTTTTTACCCATTTTACGACCTTTCTTGCAATCATTGTTAAGTGAATCACTGCAGTTCTTAAGTTAGTAACATGGTTGCAAAGTGAATTTGGCTTCCCCATTGATTTGCTTATCTTAAGGTCGCAAAAGTTGAACACATGACCCAGGACACCACAATTGTCATAGATATGAACCGATTGCCAAGCATCCGCATTTTAATCAAGTTATCATGAGGATGCTGTGACAGTTGTAAGTGTGAAAAATGGTCATGAGTCATTTCTTTCAGTGCTGCTGTAACTTTCAATGGGCACTAAACAAATGGTTGTAAATTGAGGACTAGTGTATTAGAAATTAACAGACTGGCTCAGTAATGCCCCTTTTAGCTATAAGCATTTGGTCATGTCTGGGAGGTCCCTCTTTCACTTCTTTGCATGTGTTGTCACTTATGATATAGATAAACCTTCCTTCACAAAGTGCTTTTAAGATATTTTGGGATCACAGCTCCCAAAATTTGGAGCTATTGTGAATACAGGCAGTTTTGTTTTATGAATACTAGGAGTCACTATTTATTTGGAGGGCAAGATATCAGTGAAATGTTTTTAAAGATAAGTTACTCTGGTTCATAAGTTCTTCTGTCATTTGTGACATGGGTTCTCTAGAATAGCAGGGCAGTTATTCTTTTTGTTCAGTGTTTTGTTTTGAGCCAGCCTGGTAATTGCCTCAGGGGGAGGATCTTCATGCTGCAACAATTTGCATTTGCTGTGCAAATTACAAGGCTTAAATTATAATGTTAACTTTATCCAATGGTTTTCTGAGCCATTCTTGACATCCTTCATACAGTACTGAGCACGAGGTCCCTTTTGTGTAAATAAGATCAGAACTAGAAAACATGTGTTTCTAAATTTTTGTCTAAATGCTTCTTGGTCTTAACATTTGAACATGTAATGGTGATATTGTTTTTTGTTTTAAGAGGTCGGTATGTCACATGGGGTTAAATTTTGCTTGATCCCTATTTTTTTCCTTCTTTTTCTGCTTAACTATTGTGTTGCAATATTTTATCTAGATACTTTTTAGAACAAAATGCATGTTAGCATTAGCTTAGAAAAATTATTAGTGGGAAAAGCCAACAGCAATGGGCCTCCTCCAAATTATATTCAAGCACAACATGATTTACTATTCTGCAAAGCTTCCACTATGGTTAATTATGTAATGTTCTTACAGATCAAACTGGAAGAAGCTCTCAGCCTGGCAGTGGAATTTCACAATTCGCTACAAGATTTTATCAACTGGCTTACCCAAGCTGAGCAAACTTTGACAATGGCTTCTCGGCCAAGTCTTATTTTAGACACTGTCCTATTTCAGATTGATGAACACAAGGTATGAAAGAAAGGAGCAGAATCATAACTTTCCACCTTAAATGCATTGGGCTGAATTGTACATAAATTAGCTCATCAACATATAGCTTCTGAAGATTGGTTTAAGTAATAGCATATATTTTCTCTGCCAATATGTGAGGCAGCTTTATATTTCTAGATACTTTTCAAATTTCACTATTGCCTTTTTCCTTTGGAAGGTCTTTGCCAATGAAGTAAATGCTCATCGTGACCAGATTATCCAGCTAGACAAAACTGGAACTCATTTGAAGTACTTCAGCCAGAAACAGGATGTGGTCCTCATTAAGAATCTTCTCATTAGTGTCCAGAGCAGGTGGGAAAAAGTAGTTCAGCGCTTAGTAGAAAGAGGAAGAGCCTTGGATGATGCAAGGAAGCGTGCCAAACAGGTAACATGGCAGTGCGCCATCTCAATTTTAATGACTATATCTCAAATCAACGCACACTTTGTCCCCAGGATTATGTATGTAAGTTTAACTGACTTTCTCAACTTGTTCGTAATCTGAAATGAGATCTAAGTGGGTATGCAGAGGTTTTTAATTCTAACTCCACAAGAGCCTGAAAGGGAAGGGGGAGGGGTGATTCAGGATCGTTTCCTACATGTAATGTTAATTGAGCATGAGTCTGATGAATGCATGTAAGGTGAGCTGAGGCATGGATGAAAGAAACCAATCATAAAAAAGTCAAGTGTTTCATTAATAGTTGGATTATTTTTAAAGAAATAAGTAAAAATGTTCTTGTCTTTGTGTGGTGAAATTGATAGTGATAGAAATATTAGTAACTGCAGGCAAATGATGGTGCAATTATGAAAAAAAACATTCCTTAGGTTTTTGTTGTTGTTTTGCAGATAGGCATACTCCCATAAAATTAGCAGGTTTCTGCCATCACCTCCCATGTTCTGACCAGAAGGCACATCCGAACCTTCTCTGAAAGATACTGAATAACTAGAAGGCCCTTCCTCCTTTTTTCTTCTCATTTTCCCCAAAGTCCAAACTAAGCGCTCAGATAAATGGTGGACTGTCTTTATCAAACTGTTCATATCGTAGCTGAAGAGATACTGCCAGAATTACTTGGTTTAAATGATCATTTCCAGCTCTCTGATTCTTACCTGAGGCCTGGCATTATCATCTGTACAATCAACCCAATGAAATAGTAGTTGAAAACACTTTTCAAGTTCACATTAGATATAGCAAGGTTTATTCATATGCATGAATGCATCATTAAGTACATTCATTATCCATCAGTGACACTTGCATTACATCAACTTTACTGGCATTAGAATATTAGAATAAGCAAGAACAAATACCTATTGTAGAATAATTTGCAAATCAAAACAACCTGTTTGAAAGAAAAACAAGCCATTCTTTTCAATATATTGTCGAGATCCATTTTTAATCCCCTGATTTTGATTATTTTTCACATTTAATATCTTGAGACTAAATGCTTATTGATAATCTATCACTGGAAAAACACAAGCTCACCTCGTAATTTTTCTGCAGTTCCATGAAGCTTGGATCAAACTTACTGAATGGTTGGATGATTCAGAAAAGACTTTAGATGCAGAACTGGAAATTGCAAATGATCCAGACAAAATCAAAATGCAGCTTGCCCAGCATAAGGTGAGTCACTAATAATGGAATGTGTAGAGCCTGTCTGATCTGTTACCTCAAGGCATCATGAGGTAATGAGCAGGAGGAGAGCGATTCATTGTTCACAACATTGGAATATTTGCTGCTATCAAATTCAGACATTGGCTGCTTTCCAGCTTATAAAAGAAATAGAAATTGAAAGGCTTCTCTGTAGAAAGCTCTATTCTTGTGGAAGGGAGCCATATGTGATCATGAAGGACCATATTAAAGGGTATTTGAGCCAATGAGTTACCCAATCTGAATTCTATACTGTCCATTTCTGTATGCAGTCAGCTTAGTCTGACAATATCTGATTTGAAAAATATTCCTATTTTTCAAATAGTGTTGGGGATGGAGAGAATTTTACTAAAGTAATTAAAACTTTATCAAAATTCTAAACAATGATTGTTGAATTTAAAGCAATCCCCACAATATTAAAACTACAAACCAAAAATATCAGATTCACTTAACAACCAGGTTACTAACTTATCAACTGTAGTGATTAACTTAACTGTAGCAAAAAAGTATCATTACCCCTGTTGGAGTCTCAATTGAGGAGGGAGACGAACAGCTGACAGGGAGCGGGAGTGTGGCTCCGTTGGCTGTGGAGGAAACTGGGGAAGAGCAAAGTCTGGCTGGGCAGAGCAGGGGAGAGATAGAACAAGGGAGAGATAGAACAAGAGGGAATTCAGAGGAAGACCCAGGCCCACCCCCTCTTCATCCTAGGGCACGCAGGGAGGAACAGAGAAGAGAGCAATGTGGGTTGCGTGGCTTACGGGGGAGAAAAAGGCCCTGATTCCTTTCATTAGGCACACCTGGGAAGAGAGTTTAAAAGAGATGCAAGATGAGAGCGGTGTTTGCAAATGTGAGTTTATCTTGTGTTGACTGTGGTTATCTGCGTTCCTGGAATCCTCCCAACCAGGTTGATTTACTGCTGTTCCTTCATGTCTGGAATTCCTTCTCTTGCCCTGCCGGATTAATTACCTCATCTTGCCTTGATTGGACTTATAGTTAAAGTTTTTCTTGATAATATTTTGGACTTGAATCTCTGCAGCCAAAGGCTTTTTCTGGGAGAGTTTTCTCCAGATCAGAAGGTAACCAGGACATTGGGGGAAAAAATTGGAGCTAATAAAGGGACTCCTACTTATTATTTGACTGTATTGCCTTTGTGACACGCCCTGGGTCATCACAGCCAGGTCATAAAAAGGGGCAAAACTCACTTAACAATGGAATTTTTGGACTCAATCGTCATAATTCAAGAACTACCTGTATAGCATTTTGAACCAACTATAGCTCTGTCTCAAATACTAGTTGTCCTGACTGCATTTACACATGTGATAACATCTACAGTGGGAGCTGCACTTTTTGCCATTTAACTTCTGAATGTAGTTAAAGGTTTTGATTGCTACCTTTAAAGCCCTGTGTTACTTAGTACTTGCAGGAGTGGGCTGCTGGGGGTTCGTAGGGGTTCAGGAGATCCTCTAGCTAAAATTCTGCACAGTTCAGAGAACCCCAAAATCCCACTCCTGGCTGGCCCCACTCACCCTGCTCCTCCCCTCCCAGGAGTCCCTACATGGCCCATTTTGGATGCAGGTAAGTGCAGGGCGCACGGAGGCTCAGGGAGGGTGAAAAAAGGGACCTCCTGGAAGTTCGGGAACGCCGGAAATGGGCCCGTTTCCGGCTTCAAGAGAGCTTCCAGAACCCGGGGAGGCCATTTTCACTCTCTAGGAGGTTTGAGTAAAGCCTCCAGAGCCCAGGGAGGGCAAAAATGCCCCCCCCCCACCAGCCGTGGTACAGGAGGCCGACTAGGCCACGCCCACCAAGCAACCAGGCAGAGAACTCTTTGCTAAAAATTTTGAAGTCCACCTCCGGAGTAACTGGATATTTTTGAGACTGCGTCTCCAGTTGGAGCCTACTCCTATTGGACGGAAAGCATGATATGAGTCCATTTCCAACAGAATGTTGATTTCAGGGGCCTTGAAGGTGAGCCCTCTCAGTGGTAACCTCTTCTTCTCAGACAGTTTGCCCCTAAGTATAAGGACGACTTCTTCCCTGTAACAGGTAGTCCTCGACTTACAATCACAATTGTGCCCAAACTTTCTGTTGTTAAGTGAGATGGTTGTTAAATGAGTTTTGCCCCATTTTACAACCTTCCTTGCCACAATTGTTGAGTGAATCATTGCAGGTGCGTAGTTAGTAACACAATTGTTAAGTGAATCTCGCTTCCCCATTGACTTTGTTTGTCAGCAGATCCCAAAGGTTGATCACAGGACCTTGGGATACAGCAACAATTATAAGTATGAACCAGTTACAAGCATCTGAATTTTGATCACATGATCATGGGGATGCTTCAAAGGCCAGTAACTGAAAAATGGTCATAAGTCACTTTTTAAGTGCCATTGCAACTTCGAATGGTCACTAAATGCACTGTTGTAAGTCAAGGACTACCTGTACTTTTCTGAAGAACAGTGAAGATGTGGTTCTTCTGCAGGGCTCTGGGGAATGAAAAGAAGGGATGATAATATGAGGAGAGTAGCAGTATGTTTTGATTCAGTTTTCTAGATAGCCCAAGGCATTTTGCAGGATTAAGTGCAAAAGTCAGCTCATAGAAGAGAACTCGAGAATTTTACAATATGTGTGTGTTTACTAGCAGAATTAATTTAATTTAAAAAGATCAACATTTCATTCTCCGTGCAAAAATAGCAGTAGCTACAATCCTAGTGAATCTGTTTATCAAATAGTTTGCCTGTGGTCTGTAGATTTCTATAATCTTCTGTTTCCTTGAAACTTCGCATTATGAAATCAACCACAAAACCATGGTTTCAGTAGTTTTAGTATTTTGCATCAAGGACATAAAAGTAGGATATATATACTCAGAATTACTTGGATTTATTCCGTGAAAGTTGCCTTTGCCAAAAGTAGAAAGAAACCAAAATTTTAAAAAATATGTCTGTCTCATATTTGTGCCAAAATAAGGCACATTCATTGCTTTCTTATCAGTTTTTGTCTCCCTTGGTATATTTAAATGTAACATAACAGAAAGTACTGTTCATGCAATCCATATCCCAGGAATTTTTAAAGAATGAGATATTTAAAAGTGCTTTAACAATTAGCAATATACTTTTGCCTACATTTCTGTACAAGATGTTTTTCTAAAACGTTATCAGGAAAAAGGAAATAGTTGAAAGTTGCTATTTTTAATTACAAACTAGAAAATAAACAATTCAAAATCATAAAATTGAAATATGAATCATGTTATACATGTGTAATATATAGAGATGGAGATCAAATTCATGTTTACAAGAAATGTATTCTACATTTTATTTCTTCTAGAGTTTAAATTAATTCAGATTTATAATTGTCCTGGCTAAGATAAGCAATCTAGAATACAGAGTTAACTCTTCTTTTTTTTTTTTTCCCTGCTTGTTCTGCAAAAACATAGTACACATTTAGGGCTCCACGACAAAAGCTCTGATGCAGCTTTGATCAAAGACTTGTATCAGATAACTCTTTTGATATTTACTGCGTAAAAGGCTCTTTGAGGTTTAAAGCATTGAATGATCAAGAAGAAGAAAGGGTTGTTAAAATCAAGCACATGCCATTTAAATATACTTTAATTCACTATGTCATTGAAACTGATCTTACAAAAGCCTCAAACTTATAATTTACAATTTGATTTAAATAATGTTTTTGTTTCTGAAAGCCTACACGAAGAGATTGATAGTGCTCTCCACCATAGTAATTTTTTCAGGAGTTCTTTGACCATATGGAGAATGCCTACAATCTTAAGAACTGTTGTGTTATTTTTAACAGCAAGAAATGGAAAGCAGTTTGCACCTTCAGAAGTCAACTAAACCAGACAGTGTTTGGCACTCATACAATTGTGATCCATTTAAATTAAAAAGAATAAGTAATAAGTTTTGTTTATGTTAATCCCAAATTGATGGGCTGTTACACCATACTGAAGTTTTGTTCTTCTGCCATTTCTATTAGATTACATCTTTTTATTGCCCAGTTAAATTCAAGTTGATTTGCAAATGTTTTAATTTTGTTGATACAAACTAAATGGTTCTGGTTTCTTGCTATCTCAATGACATTTTATGAGTTTTCTTCCCTAAATACAGCTTGCCTCAAAATTGTAGCCATTGTGATCTAATCCAAGTAGCACAAAATAAGTTTTATCCTTTAGTTTACGTGCCGTACTTGTTTCTTGTGACAGTTTTTTTCCTTCTTATTTTTTGCACAGGAGTTCCAAAAATCTCTTGGAGCTAAACATTCTGTGTATGACACCACAAACAGGAGTGGGCGCTCTTTAAAAGAAAAAACTTCCCTCACTGATGACAGCCTGAAATTGGACGATATGTTGAGCGAGCTTAGAGACAAATGGGATACGGTCTGTGGAAAATCTGTAGAAAGGTAGAACCTAAAGCTATGCATCCTGTTTAAAAGATGACCCATAAAACACAGAAATTTATTTGTTTATACCATTGGTTTTTATCTTAATTTATTGTCAATATCTGACCTTGATTAGTCTAATCTTACAAGAGGCCACTTGTAAGCACAGGATGGAGTTCTTGGCTGCAAATGCAGCCTTTGAAATGTTTAAATAAAACTGTTTAAATCTCAGCCAGCCGTAGCATATGCATATGGTTTGTTTTTATCAGTGTGATGAAATGAGATCTGTTCCTTCTCAACCAATTTCTGTGGAATGGCATAGGGATCTGTGTCTTAACAATAGGAAGTAGATGGCTACAAATGCCCATCTTTTTTTCTTTGCACATCTGTTAGGCCTGGGTATAAGGATCTTGTTTTCCTAGAGGAATGAATGTTGCCCTGATATATATACTATTCTCCTGAAACTAATATTGACAAACATACCTAAACACCAGCATCTCAATGTTGTATTAATCTATCTGAAAACAAGCATAACATTTTGTCAAAGTTGACGGAAGGTTAGGGTTGAGATTGGGGTACTGCGAGGGCATGTAGCCTCCCTGAAGATGGATAACTAGGAGGTTGTGTAGAAAGTAGGGGCTGGCATACTAACAGAAATATCATGTATTTATTCAGAGGAAGACTTAGGTAGAAGACTGCAGCAACTGTTTTGCAATCTCAAAATTGATTACTTATTCATCAGTCAGTCAAATTGGTTAGTCACCCATATCACCAGAAGTGACTCTGAAGCATACCCAACGATTCAATAAAAAACACAAATATAGAAACATCAGATGGAAAAAATATAGAAATCTAAATAAACTGCATAAAAAAACAATTACATAAACTGTTAGGCAAAGAGGGGATAGAAATGGCCACCCCAACAATGGAGCCATCTGAGCAAATCTTTGATTCTTAGGAGCTCCAGGCCTGATAAGATAACCAGGTCCTGAGGGCCTTCTGGAATGTCAAAAGGGATAATAAAGCTCCTAGTATTTCAGGACGAAGCATGCTCCATAAAGTGGGCATTATACCACCATAATGGTGCTTAATCTATAGAGCGGATAAATGTAAATCCAGCAGTTGGTTTACATAGGGCAAAGAATATCTGAATTTACTCAGTGATTCTACTGCATATCCATTGGGACATGAACGCACACATAGATGCTTCCCCCATACCGCTTGCTGCAGTTTTAGTTGGCTGTGACTACTAATAATAACATTTTTATCTGTTTACCTTTTTTACCTTCTACTTTATTAAAAAAAAATTGGTTCTTTCTTTTATTTATATAGTACTTTTCCTAATGAATGCACACAAAGGGGCTTGTTTAAATATTTGTTTTATTTACTTTCTTCAGACAAAACAAACTGGAAGAAGCTCTCCTGTTCTCTGGGCAATTTACTGATGCTCTTCAGGCTCTCATAGATTGGCTTTACAAAGTGGAACCACAACTGGCCGAAGATCAGCCTGTGCATGGAGACATTGATTTAGTGATGAATTTAATAGATAATCACAAAGTAATGACCATATTACAGTAATGTTTGTATTCTTTTTAAGTCTGCTCTACTAATTGTTTTGATTGGGTGACTGATATCAACATAGATTGTAAGAAAGACTTATGAAACTAATACACTAAAACCCTACATTGTAGTTTTTTAAAAAAAAATCATAGGAAAAACTGGAGATTTGGTTGGCTTGAAAATTTGTTTGGGAATCTGTGCTACTTTATTAAACTAAGTTATTTTAACTGACTATTTCAAGATGTTTGCAGCTTGTGTCTTGTAAATTACCTCTGTGGGTATGGCAATATTCTCTTGACCTCAAATAATATAAGGAAGTTTTATTTTTGAAAAAGTAAATAATGATAGTTATTAGTAATGTTGGGATTTGGCCTAGCTTACTTCCAATTCACAGAGCTTGTTCCCTGTCCTCCTTGATAGGACCATGAAAACAAAATTAAAAGTGTCCAGTGTAGATTAGCATTGCATTTGGATCCTGAATTGTCTAATTATAATTGGTTGAAAAATAGTTTAATAAACCATAGGATTTAGTTGCTTTCAACAAGCCATATTAATGAGTAATTACATTAGATTGCAGTAGCATAGTAGACTTCAGTTAATGAACCAACAAACATTTCCAACCCTCAGTGGTCCTACAGACCAGAGAGCTCCTAAAAACATTCCCAATAGAAGAACCCATTTTCTAAATGAGGTTTGAATATATCCATTCTGATTTTTATTGTAGAATGCACATAGAAAGCTACTGATTAATGCAAAGCAAGAAGAAATAAACTGTAAAGAATAAATGCAATGGATGGAATAGAAGATAATTTTAATAAAATTTTGAAATGAAAATGTTTTGCCCAATTTATCTTTAAAAAAAATTAACAAAATGCAATTTATGCTTTTAAAAAAACTAGCTGTGACCGAGAGGGTTCTTTACATAGAAAAGAAGTCATGTTGCATGTAAGTCATAAAGGTGCTCAATAGTGTTTAACACTTTTTTTTTTAATTTCCTTTGCTCAGGGCTTCCAAAAGGAACTGGGGAAAAGGACCAGTAGTGTTCAGGCCCTGAAACGTTCTGCTCGAGAGCTAATCGAAGGTAGCCGTGATGATTCCTCTTGGGTTAAGGTTCAAATGCAGGAGCTTGGTACTCGGTGGGAGACTGTGTGTACTCTCTCTGTCTCCAAGCAAACTCGACTAGAACAGGCCCTTCATCAGGTGAGAAACAAATGCATTGCTCTGAATTCCATCTATGTAAGGAATCATAATTACTTGAGCCACATGTGATATCAAGGCAGGAGATTTTTTTAAAAAAACTTTTAAACAGAATTATTTAATGAACAAGCCATTGCGGTTTGTTTTCATTTATTAATCCCATTCATATATTATCCCATCTAATGGTCTGCAGGAGCTCTGATTTTCCAGAAATTTTTCCAGTCTTGTTCAAAGTGTCCGGAAATGTTAGGAACTGAAAACAATTTGGACAGAAGTGGCAGACTTACTTATACAGAACAAATTGAATTTTCAAGCAATTTTTCTGGTTCTCAACCTCACACCATTTATACATAACTATAATTATATATATTGAGATGGATGGATGGGTTTAAATGATAACTATTAAATGTCTCCACCACTTGCTCCAAAGTGTACAGGTAGTCCTTGACTCCTATATTACAATCATAACTGAGCCGGAAATTACTGTTGAAAGTTGTGCCAGTCATTAAGCTGATGACCATGTGACCCCACTTGATTCTGCAACCTTTTTTGCAACATTCGTTAAGTGAATCAGTGCAGGTTATTAAGTACTTTTTGGCAGAAACTAGAAGTAAATGCTGGTTTCTGACAAAAAAAAACGTTATATATCACAGTCATGATTTTGGGATGCTGCAGATGGCTATATATGTGGACCAGCTATTGAGATCATGTGACCACAGAGGGAGGGTTGCCCCCCCCATCAGAGCGTGGGTCATAAGTAGCCTTGGGGATGTCCATCATAAATGCAAACATTTGATATAAAATTGGTTGTAAAGTGAGAACTATCTGTGCATGCATGTTTGGGAAGACTCTTGTTTTCCCTGTTTGTTCAGGACTTTGAAAAACTATTATAATTTGAAAAACTAAGGCTTGTACAGGACCTAAGTAAAAGGAAAAAGGGAACTCTATCATCAGAAATTACCTTCTCAGTGGTGTAGTGTTGCTTTCAACTCTCAGAGAAAAAATAGGATCTAAATGCGGCTTTAATTAACTTCCCCCTTTCCTCCTACAGACTAACTGATGTTCATTAGCATGGCTCCAGCTCATAGACTTAAGCATTGTTTTTGTAATCTATAGGCAAGATAGCAAATTGCTAATACAACTGTCATGTGTGGCATAAATCTTAACATTTAAAAGCATTCATAAACAGATTTTTCAGGGTTTTTTTTTCCTTTAAAAAGGTTTTATATTTTATAGTGAAAGATAGCAAGGGGTTTTAAATCAGATTTCTTACTTGAAAGTTAATATGACTTCATTGCTGAATGATAAGTAACTGCTATTTTGGGCCCAATGTTTTCATACATATTTGTTCTTTCTTTTCTTGACTCACACACACACACACACACACACACACACACACACACACACCCCTCCATTTGTGCAGGCAGAGGAATTCCACTCAGTTGTCCATGTGCTTCTGGAATGGCTGGCTGAAGCTGAACAGACCCTGCGTTTCCATGGGATCCTACCAGATGATGAAGAGGCCCTGCGTATGCTAATAGATCAGCATAGAGTGAGTTGGATCATGGACTAGTTCTCAAAATTAGATTTATAGAAATGTGACAATAAAATGAAAGCACTCCTGGCTTATTTATATCTAGCAAAGAAAAGATGTTTTCTGTCCTAGAAATGAGGTCTTACGAAGCAGAGCAGTTGCTCCAGAATGAAGTTCTCTGTTTATTTAACTGATGCTTTTGATAATACCGTAAATGTAAATTCAACTGGCATATCCTCAGTGTGCTATCACAAGTCCTTAATTATTTAATGGAGGTGTTGTTATTAGGCAGCAGCGCATTTTATCATTCTTACAGATAAAGTAAAGCTTGGAAGGGGCCATTGGTTCATCGATTCCAACTCCCTGCCCATTACAGGATTCTACTACCTCAGCATCCCCAATGAAAGGCCATTGAGCCCTTTTTTTTAAATACTTCCAGAGGCATCTGCTTCACTGTTGATCAGGGAATTGTTAAATAGCTTTGATTGAGTGACTGAGTATTATCAAGGTGGTGTCAACTCCTAAATTTTTCTCCATGGTGATCTGTCTTTAGGCTCGTCCTTCAGGCATTCCACTCCTCAGCTTGCAATAGATTACCTTATGCCAACCGGCTTGAAATTTTGGACCTAGACAACATAGAACTACGCTGTCTACGGTCTGACTAAAGCTTAGTACACAAAATTGTTTGCTACAATGTCCTCTCTGTCAAGGACTACTTCAGCTTCAACCACAATAACACATGGGCAAACAATAGATACAAACTCAAAGTAAACTGCTCCAAACTCGATTGCAGAAAATACAGCTTCAGCAACAGAGTGGTCAATGCCTGGAACTCACTACCTGACTCTGTTGTTAAATCCTCAAACCCCCCAAACTTTAACCTGAAACTGTCTGCCGTGGACCTCACTCCATTCCTAAGAGGTCTGTAAGGGGGTGTGCATAAGCACAACAGTGTGCCTACTGTCCCTGTCCTACTGTTCCCATTTATTCATTTATTCGTACTCATTTATTATGTATATACTTATACCTGTTTATACTTACATGTTTATGTGTTATGTTCATACTTAAACTTATTTTCTCATACATGCTTGACAAACTAAACTAAATAAAATAAAATATTGCAACCGTGGTTAATCTTGAGGCAGTTGTCCTCTTATTCTCTTTGGCTTTCTTGAGCATTGCAGCTCAAGCCCTCCTTTTTTTCCCCTGCTTCTTTTGGAAACCAGCTCATCAAAAGCAGGCGGATATTCTCAGGTTTCACCTTTCCAATCTTCTCCCACCAATCTTTCTTTCTTTCCAAGTATTCTTTTTGATCCGCCTCCTTTCCCATCTCCCAATGGGCTTATAGAAATGCCCCCCACTCTCGTGGCTCAAAGGTTTTAACCACTAAGGCAAAGATTGTGGGATTTCCTTTCTCCCTAAACAAATCTCGACTTTGCTGCCCATGACTTCCCAGCCATGCTGTCTTGTCCTCGAAAACATTATAAATTGTCCTGGTGCCTGGGACTTGTGCATTGGATGAATGAGGATTTGCCTAAATGCAGCATGTGCTGCAATGAATGCGGAAAAACTGAGGCCTGCCCTTGGATTTTATCCTAGGATACAGGAATGTTCAGTAAAACAACTGTGTTACTTATGGAAGTATAATGCATGGATAATACTGCTTTTTAAAAGAGCAGCTGAAAAATATTGTTTCATACCATTAAAATGCCAGTGGTATATGATTTTCTATGTTTTTCAAGCTGCAGCTAAAGGGAACTGGGTGATAGTCTATCTTAACCCTACTAGCCTCATGAGGATAAATCGGAAATTTTGTCTTGTCTCAGAACTTATTCTGACTGAAAAGGGATTCAAGACCTCACAACAATCACCCCTTGTGTTGTGCACTATAAGCATCTCTTCTCTGTGTTCTTTTCTGTCCAGTAGTAAGGAAATACTCCAAAAGGGCCCCCAAAGCCTGCAAGATTAAACCTGTTTCTGCTATTATTTGTTTCCACAAAATAATGGCAGAAAATAAAGATACATTCTGTCCTGTTTATTCAGATTCTTAATGAGTATTTTAATAAAGTAGATAGTAACTACTTTATTATAGTATTTTAACAAAGTAGATAGTAACTAGCTGAAATTTGTTTTCCTGAATAATCAAGAACAAGCAGTAAGATCTGAATAGTACTGTATTATGAAGGGTGTGTCTCTTTTGAATGGCACCATGCTCAAAGTACATAAGGATATATATCTTTCTTTAAGGTTGTAGCAATTATTAGTTTGTCCACTTTATTCCAATATTAATGATTTGCACACTGAAATATGTTCCTCGCTATTATTTGATTTTTTACTTCAGTTGTTTCATATCTGCAACGGTTCAACTCTTATTTCAGAACTTTTATTTTAGAATGCTGGACTGCAATTTCCTTCTGCACCTATTCTGCCAATGCTTCATGTGATTCAGTTTAACATTCACCTCTTTGACCTTGCCAGCAAAGTCTAAAATTACTTGAGTTTTCCCTTTGAATTGTTACCAACATCTGACGGAAATCACTGTTTCTGACTTAGGAATTCATGAAGAAACTGGATGAAAAAAAGATTGAGCTTAGTAAAGCCACAGATATGGGAGAGGCCATCCTGGCTATTTGCCATCCAGATTCCATCACTACCATCAAGCACTGGATAACCATTATCCGAGCAAGATTTGAAGAGGTCAGTCCAATTCAAGCAGTCCTATGTGGTCACAGTCAAGTCAGTCCTTGACAGCCAGCAATTAGCAAGGCCGTGTTTATGAGGACATGTTCCAACTGTTGAGAGCAAAATGTTTATCATACCCATGCTGTCTTGTATACGAGACCTTGCTTTAGACTTTTTTATGGTTATGTTATGAGAAAGAAAGAAATTGAGTAGAACAGAAACATGTATTCATTTACATTTGTGTCAGTTTCTCACCCCACCTCTTAGAAAATGGGATTTGAACTTAAATCATAGCTTTCAGACAGGAATGGACAACTCGAATATTTCCAAATATTGTTGCCCTCTAATTGGCACAGGAAATGCAGTTCTGACATTTAGAGGACTCTGTGGTATTCATCCCTGCTTTAAATTGATGACACAACAGGAAACAATCATAAGTTATTTGCAATAATCACATTAAGTCATAGCTGAGCTTGTTTCTTGAGCAGCCACTGAAACATCTAAAGCACATGAAAGTTCCATTATAATTAAAAGTTATATAGTGATGGCCCCTTAAGAATCGGCCATCACCTCTGTTCCTTCAGACCCTGAAGATTTCTTGCGAGGCAGGAGTGGAGGGCAAAAACCCTGGGTTAACTGTGTGGATGAACAACAACAATAATATGGAAATCATAACAGATTGCTGTTCCTCCTTTTTTAAGGTGGCAGCATGGGCAAAGCAACATCAGCAAAGATTGGCAGGGGCCCTCGCTGCTCTTATTGCTAACCAGGAGTTATTGGAAGCATTATTGTCCTGGCTGCAGTGGGCGGAGACAACGCTGACTGAAAAAGACAAAGAAGTCATTCCTCAGGAGATTGACGATGTCAAGGCACTCATAGCAGAGCATCAGGTAAGAGAACCATGGCTCTCTCCCCAAGCTCTTTCTCAGCATGGGTATGGGTAGCAAGCAGGCTAGAAATTTACAAAACTGAAAATCCTACATTGCTCACATATCTGACAAAAACATACACATTCCTTAAATGTTGTGCATCTGTTTGTTGCACTGTGTGAGTTTCATGTGTAAAGCAAAGCGGTAGCACAGAGAACAAAAAAACTTATTTAAAATGACATTGGCAAGAAAACATGTCAATAGCACATGACTCGAGTTTTGTGTCCTTGCAGAGGACAAACTAAGCCAGTCTTTTAACAGTGCAGTAGGTTGTAGCTTGAGGGTCTAAAAGTCTTGGACACAAAATAAAACAAAAATAATCCAGAATACGTGTGTGCTAAGTTAGGGTGCCTTTGTTTCAAGCATGATGTTCTGTGCTGTGTCCTCAAACGGAGAGCATGTCCTTCCGTCATTTCAAAGAAAACTGCTTCTGCTAAGGGGAATAGTTTTAACAGAAGATAAGCAGCATTTCTTCTCTTCTCTGTAGACTGCCTAAGGTCTACAGAAAGTTTCTTTTAAACAAGTCAGTCAGACCTCCAAAGGAGATTTTGAGGCCTGGGAACTAAAAGAAAAAACAAAAATTACTGTTTGGTAAATAAAACTGACTCATGCAAACATTAGGTTTGTCCTAAACGTATTTCTAAAAAATCTTTTTGTAATACAAGTTTCTCTCTGTTGGACAAAACATATTTTTCTGTCAATTTAGGTGGTGGTACAAATGTTTTATTTTCATATTAATTAGAAAGTTGATGACTTTATTGTCATCCACTCACAGAAGAACAATTAGTCCCGGTGTACTTACGGGGTTAAAAAGTTTATAGTATAGGTAGTCCTCAATTTATAACCACAATTAAGCCCAAAATTTATATTGCTAAGTGAGAAATTCATTAAGTGAGGTTTGCCCCATTTTATGATTTTTCTTGCTACATTTATTAAATGAATCACTGCAGATGTTAAATTAGTGACGGTTGTTAAATGAATCTGGTTTCCCCATTGACTTTACTTGTCAGAATGTTGCAATAGGATCACAATATAAATCGTAAGGATACAAGCGACAAAGTTAAAAGTCATACAGTCACAAGTGGGAGGGGATGGGTGATAAGGAGTGATGAGAAGATTAACAGTAATAGTAGTGCAGACTTCGTAATAGTTGAACAGCGTTGAGGGAATTATTTGTTTAGCAGAGTGATGGTGTTCAGGGAAAAAACTGTCCTTGTGTCTAGTTGTTCTGGTGTGCAGTGCTCTATAGCATTGTTTTGAGGGAAGGAGTTGATGTCCAGGGTGTGAGGGATCTGTAAATATTTTCACAGCCCTCTTTTTGACTCATGCAGTATACAGGTCCTCGATTGAAGGCAGGTTGGTAGTAATTGTTTTTTTCTGCAGTCCTAATTATCTTCTGAAGTCTGTGTCCTGTTGGATTGCAGAACCAAACCAGACGGTTATAGAGGTGCAGATGACAGACTCAATAATTCCTCTGTAGAACTGTATCAGCAGCTCCTTGAGCAGTTAGAGCTTTCTGAGTTGGCTCAGAAAGAACATTCTTTGTTGTGCTTTTTTGATGACTCCGGGACACTGTGGCCGTCATAAATATGAACCAGATGTCAAGCATCCAAATGTAAATCACATGACCATGGGGATGCTGCAACAGTCATAAGTGTGAAAAATGGTCATAAGTCCCTTTCTCCAGTGTCTTGGTAACTTTGAACCATCAGTAAACAAACTGTTTTAAGTCAAGGAGTACCTGAATTGATACAGACCTTGAAGTAAATACTGAAAAAGTTATGTGTGATGCAGCTGCATTAAGTACATATGATAGGCCAAATAGACCACTGCACCAAAGCTGTTGTTTCACTGAGTATTTTTCAGGTTATTTGGATGCAATGTTAGTCAAAGTAATCACCGTTTAATTGCAGACATTCATGGAAGAAATGACCAGAAAACAGCCAGATGTAGATAAAGTTACGAAGACACATAAAAGAAAAGCAGCTGAAACCAGCCCAATCCAATCTCATATTCCTGTATTGGATAAGGGAAGAGGAGGAAGTAAGTAATGTTCTATTGTGAGGCATTGAGAGTATCATATTTCAACATTTCTTGGCTATTTATAGATTGCAGTAGTAATTCACCATTGTTTTATCTCATAGAGTAGTTTTATGCTCTTTTTTTGTCATTTAAAAAAATGGCAAGAATAAATAAGAGTTGACAATTTGTACGCCTATGGCCTCTTGTATCTGACTCATGCTATTTAGGTTTATAGCTGCCCTCCATAAACAGAACCGAAGTATTATTTGCAACCAAACAAGCATATATTCATATTATCTTTCTTCTAAATTGCTTGGAAAGGGGTAATTTTGATTCACAGTTTTTGATGCATATGCAATTCACTTTATGTTTAACAGGAAAATGTTCTCCAATCCCAAGCATATATCCTTCAGGTGCTCAGACCCAAATCGAGACTAAGAATCCACGGATTAACCTCTTGCTCAGCAAATGGCAACAAGTCTGGCTCCTGGCCCTGGAGAGACGAAGGAAACTTAATGACGCCTTAGACCGATTAGAAGAGGTTAGTAACAGTAATTAAAACAGCCGCCCCAGGACTTTAAATAAAGTTCTTTTTCATGCATGAATGGCAGTGGCATTCCTTTTGGGCAGGGGGAACCACCGATTCATCACATCTGACACTCAGAGGGTATGTGGTTAGCTCTTGATCATCAGCACAGTTACTCTTCTGACTGTTTGGAGAGAAAGTACCTACCCATACATTGAGTACCCAGGGCACTCCATGGAAGGACAGGACACCGATATGCTTCTGCCTGTACCAACAGGAAGATACAGACATGACACACATGACTGAGAAAATGGGATGTTACTACCAACTGTATGGATCAGCATTGCCTCTAAATGACATGGGTGGCATACAAATCTAAACAAATAATGATTGATTGATCGAATTAATGAATTAATGTTTGTGTGCCACCAACTCATTTTCCATTCCCAGCAATCAAATAAGTTTTTACATCAAAAATAGGAACCAAAGGAATTGGAGAGTCATACATTGGTTTGTCAAATGGTAAAAAGCACCAATAGTCTCTTCAAAAGATAGTTTCCCACTCTATCAGTCAAAGTTTAGAGTTATTTTTCTTTTGGGAGCCTTCATGATGAATGCTAACCACTTTTCTTTTAATAATTGGAAATAATTTTAAAGCTTATTTTTAAAGGACAGATGAAGTTAACTTCTGCAATTCTTCATGCTAAGTTGATATGTAGCTTTGGATCCACAAATGTAGTTGAACTGCAGTTTGAAGGAGCCTTCAGGCTCATATACCTTGGCCAAGGCAGCTGAGAGTCCAAGATCAGAGACCTAGGCAGGAAATAGAAAGGACTAGTTTGATTTTTCACATTACAGAGGAAACCAGTATTCACTTTTGTCCGGGATCTTAGCATCATGGATATTGGGTTCCATAAGCTAATTCATCTCTTAAATCATTTTCATGATTTGTTTTTCCAGCTGAGGGAATTTGCCAATTTTGATTTTGATATTTGGCGGAAGAAGTATATGCGATGGATGAACCACAAGAAATCTCGAGTAATGGACTTCTTTAGGAGGATAGATAAAGATCAGGATGGAAAGATAACAAGACAGGAATTTATTGATGGGATTCTCTCTTCAAGTAAGTTTTAAAACAAACCATTCTTGAAACTTCAGATTGCTGTGAAGAAAAAAGAATCTGAGAGAAAAGGGGGTAATAATACTTCTCAAATATCTGCATATAAGAGATATATTCTTAGTGACCAATAGATGGAATTAGATCTAGTGGATATAACTAACCGGAGTCTAAATTGTTACAGTCCAGTGAAGCATCAAGATAAATGTTTAGTGGTAAGAATGGTCAATCAGAGGAACTAATAACTTGTTATGTGTTTCTTAAAGTATGGTCCAAAAAGTGTTCCCCCAAGACTCTCTCAGGGATCTGGGAAGTGAAAATTATTTACCTGCTATTGAAGATATTTGCAAAAATTTAAAACAGTGTCACGGTTCTCGTTTATTGTTGTTAAAACAGTTTTTTTGTGAAAAATATTTTATATTAATATATAATAGGTTCAATATTGTAATAGTTATATCATTCAGTAAATGTTCTGAATGAATTAATCATTTTAATATTAATATTGATAAATATAACCCATATATACAAAGTTCTTTTGAGGGTCATCCTTAATTTTTAAAAATAAGAAAGGATTAAAAAAAATTAGGAAATACTGAGCCAGAAGATTGTTCAACTCTTGTTACATTCATTCAAAGAGTAGATAGCCATCTTTTCCAGATCCTCTAGTTTTGGCCTTCCCACATCAAACAGAAAAATAGATTAGAAAGCCTGCAAAATTCTCTTTAATTCTATGATTTTAGAAGTAATCTGTTCTTAAAACTTTGTAATTCTAATGTTTAGTATTATTTCTTTTCCATAGAATTTCCTACAAGTCGCCTGGAAATGAGTGCGGTAGCAGACATTTTTGACAGAGATGGCGATGGCTATATTGACTATTATGAATTTGTAGCAGCACTTCATCCAAACAAGGATGCATACAAACCTCTGACAGATGCAGACAAAATTGAAGATGAGGTATTCTTCTATTCACCTCTTATTATGAGCATTTTCCATTAGCACTGCATAATGATCGTCATACTTACAATTTACCAATGATACAGAATGGCTGAAAAATCTAATACAATGGTTCTGATTATCATATTGACAGGTGACAAGGCAAGTAGCAAAATGTAAATGTGCAAAGCGGTTCCAGGTGGAGCAGATTGGCGAAAATAAGTACAGAGTAAGTCTAAAAAATACATTCATGTCATCTATTGATTTATACCTAGCTACTCTGAAAAGAACCAGAGGACCTGAATTATTAAACTAAATTTAGACTCTGAATTCTGTGAATTTTCTCAAAGTGTTAAAACCTATTTCAAATTTTACTTAATAGTCAATGAAAATAATAGTCACAACATGGACAAAGTAATAGAAAATGAAGAAGCTAAATGCGCTGGGACTTTAGAATTGAAGCAGACAAACATTTTCCACACAACACTTAGTAATTGTTGATAAGAAAGACAAAGAACTTTGAATAGTGGATGCTTCAGGATTTGGAGACAACAGGATAGAAGAGAAAAAAACTGGAGAAAATCATGAAATACAAAGACTTGCAAATAGAAGTTTAGAACAACTGTGAAAGGAAGCCCAGATAGTACCAATAGTAATAGGCACTTTGAGTCCAATTCCCAGAACATCTGGAGCTTCAGTGGCGTTGACAAAATCACCACCAAACAGTTGCAAAAGGCAGCTTTTACCTTTAATATTATTACTAAACAATATCTGCTTGTCTCAGGTCCTTGATTCATTAAGTGGATAAAAATGTCAAATCCAGTCTAAACAGCGATTAACTGTGCACTACCCTAATTCCTATTGATACTCATTTGAAATTATTATATATGGTGATTATTTGCACATGCATGGGATTTAGGTTGTGTGTGCGAAACCATTCCCCCCTGCTACTGAAACTACCACTAGCCATCAGCAGAACCAAGAAGATTGGCAACCCCTGTGTTATGTAATACTTATATAATATCATGCCACCAATGTTCAAGATCTTTTATTGTACTATTCATTAACATTTAAATAGTGTACTTCCCAACTGAATTAGAATTCAAAGTTATTGAACAATATATCTCATGATCATCCTGTTTTTGTAAAAAGCATATGTCCCAGTTTTATTAGTTAGGAAATGTGTTGCACATCTTTGGGTGCGGGGGTGGGGGAGTCTTAAACAGATACAAAGGAAAAATTTGTCAAATTGCAGAAGATATTTGATCAAAGATGATGCAAGGAAGTAACAGATAAATTAGAATTCCATTCCCCATCATTTACAGTCCAAACATTTAATGTTACCTGTACACATGTAAAGTATATATTATATCAAGCTATTTGGAAAATACATATGCACTTTCATAGTGTGTTCTAGATTCATGTAGACCATTTCCTGTTAAACTAATTGTGTTTTTTTCCCATTTTCCATCTCTTGTCAGTTCTTCCTGGGAAATCAGGTATAAACAGTTGAATGTACATGGAGTTCTTCTAGTATTTTTTTAATACATTATCATTTCAGCTTGCAGTGATTTGTTCTCCCACTTCCTTTCACCCTGAGCTAATTTCTTGTTTGCTCAGCTTTGGTGCCTTAACAGGTGTCTTTACACTGAGAATTGCCTCTTTGCCTGTCGCTGCCTCATAATTAAGATTACTTTAAGGGAACCAGATAATAGTGCCAAATGCTATTCGAGGTGCAAATGCTTTCAGATACTTTCTCTGTAATTTGCACTTGAAAACTAGTTAAGATTGTGCTATGATTGCTATATGGAATGGCTTTTAGGTTTCCATGCTGCATCCCACTGTCAGGTAATTTACATCACACATTTTTTTAAACTACTAGGAAAAGGATACTCTGAAACAAACTAATAGCATTCAACCAAGCACCTTTCAGACTGTATCCATCAAAAAGGGAATTTTGTTTACTTTGTTCAATATACCTTGTTACTCTGCTTACTTTTTTAGCAGAGCAATATTATATCATTCAAAACAAGAAAAAAATTAACATTTGGGGGCAAGCAGGTTTCATTTGGTGGAAAGTGACCTCAGCTTTCAGTCAGGATTTAACATTTAACGAGTGAACATGGATTCCACTAAGTTTGAAATTTGCACTGATGCCAGACACAGAAGATCTTCAATTCTTTTTAAAGTCCATCTTCCTATGATTCTTTTTATAAAGTTATATGTATTAAAAAGGAATTTTGATAAATAAAGATAACACAATGTTACCATTATAAAACTATGTCTTTAATAATGGACATTGCTTAGGCTTTATATAAAACAGTATTAATAAAATTCTGCGATAGAATTTCCCATCTACTCCTAAACCATGGAGCTCATTCAGTATTTGAGGCCAATCAGATACACTTTCAGTTAAATCTATGCTTAGACAGTTGTTATGATGAGGATTAAGTTAAGAGTACTGTCAAATATACTGTCTTGAATGTTTAATAGAAACGATAGAATATAAGATGGTGTAAAACTAATCAAATTCTTGAAGGAATTGGTGTTTCTGGAGAGAGATAGAGACAGATAAGAACTACAATAGCTGGGCATCCTTAAATATAGTAGACTTATTTACCCATTTTTGTTTTTTGTTTTTTACATTTTTGAAAGGCATGTTCAGGAATATTAAGTATCTAGATACAGGACTGTAATAATGTAGATATTTTAGCCACTCCAAATAATTATGACAGGTTGCGCTTGTAAGGATTTTGGAAAAACACAACTAGAGTAAAGGATAAGTTTCCCAAAGAATACTGCAAAAAAGGAGACACCTCAAACATTTTCCTAAGTTTGATTGGTTGGAAATGAAATTAAATTGTGTCAGGTTCCCCTGCTAGAGCCTCTGGACATTGAAACGTGAATATTACAGCTTGGAACCAAGGTAGAATTCTCAAAAAAAAAGTCTAGGAAGCAGGAAGAGATATTCTTTCTTGACTCATCTATGTGGTCATAACTTCCCACTCTGCTTTAGGAAAATAACTACAGTCAGCATTTGGATGAAGTTGTGGCTGTAGGAGAGCCTGGGTGAATGTCTCATGTTATCGTTCCAATTTCTCTGGCTAATTCTTCCCAGAACTATTTAAGCAAAGTCCATTTTCCAAAGGACTCTTATGAAAAACAGTTGCTGCAGCATAAAACCTTATAAGATGAAAGGAAAAAGTCTTCATATCTATGTTTATTTCCATAATTTCACACAGTGCACATTCCAATCTAGCATTTTTGCATACTTCTAAAATAAAGTTTTGTTCCTGGCGTAGTGAGCTTTATCTGCTTTACTGTTATTTGGTTCCTAAGAAGTAATATGCTTTCCCCCCTTGCTTAAGCTATTAAAGTTATATTAAAAAGTAAGCTCACTTGTATGATTTAGCAGTGAAAGTTTTACTAGACAAACAACGTTTGCTTCAGTTTTGAAAGATAATATTTGGCTTCTTATTCCAGTTGGACTTTTGGGGATAAGTGCCCTCATGAAAGATCAGGCATTAAATATTAGAGAAGTTTTGAATTCTTCTCATAGCAGAAACTAATGGTAAAATGATTTGCAGCACAAGCCACTAGGGTAGATCATACAAAAGATATTTTTTAGGCAGTGATTGGGATGAAAGTGTTTAAACCTAATGAATTTCATTATACATTTAATGAAAAGTTAACTAGTTGTGGTTTCTTGGGCCTTTTCTTCCTGGTCTTGTTTGTCCTCTCACCTAGTTGTTGTAATAATCTGGAGTGCAAATGTGCTGCAGAGCAACATGAAGGGAGAGAATAACAATCAGAGGAAATAAAAAGAGAAGTATGTTCTTCTTCTAGCAGGGAGCTTAAAAGTACAGTACACATCTCTAGATTGCAACAGCCTTTTTGGCTTTACAATGCTCATTCTGTGTTCCCATAACACGAAGGTCTGCGCTTGGCCATTATGATCCCAAAACAACAAAACAGTGCAAACTCTGTCCTTTTGCCTATTTGCCCAATACAAATAATCCTACATCAGCTTCACGTCATGAGGTGTTCCTGCAGCTCTTTTTTTGTTGTTGTTAATTTTCTTTCCTGATGTGCTGTAATAAATCAGAAGCCTCAGATTCTCTGTTGAGTCTCAACCAGGAGACTATTAAGATTCTGAATAACAAGTTCAGTTAAGTTGGCTTTCTGCCATGTTCCAGATCTGCTAACCATTGTTTCCTTGTTTGGACATGATAAGAAATTCTTCTTTATTACAGCAGGCCAAGAAATAAAGGAGCTGTGTAAAAACTAGAGTCAAAACAATAGATAAAACTTCTGTAGCTCACAGATTATCTATACATGCTTAAACAATCATGTAAGTTTCATGTTTACTTAGATAAGGGATGAAGAAAAATCATTTTTGTTTCATTTTAACATATCTAAGCACACTTTTCTAAACAGATTGTGACTGGCCATGAGCAGTGCCTTTTGTTCTAGGAACAGGCACAATTGGTAGACAATGCATTATCAGGGCAAGGGCAGGGGTGGGATTCTACCAGTTCAGCCTAGTTCTATAGAACCGATAGCTCCAAAGAACAGCTGACAACTGAACAGGTTTGCTTGGAAGATCTTCTTTGCTTTGATTGTGCCCACCTGCCTACCCAGGTTCTAGGCTGTCCTTTATTCCCTGCTAAAGCAACCTGAGTTGCTTTGCGCATCAGCAGGAAAAGGTTATTGCTTGCAGGAGAAGTTGATTTACAAGTATTGCATACACGAGCAAGGCATGTGGTCACTGAACCAGTTGTTACGCCGGTAGGATCCCACCCCTGGGCAAGGGCCCTCTTAGCCATAGCTGTCATCTGCTCTTTGAACTGTGGTTACAAGTCCAGGAGGACTTCCAAAATTGCACCCAGGTTCCATCTAGCATAGCGCAACCCCATCCAAAACAAGCGATAGAAGTTTCCCATAGCCAGAAGGGCTAAAACTCAAGGCCACTGAGACTTACTACACCTGATGCCTATTATTCCCCATCCAGACACCCACAGCCTCTAGACATTGAGACAGGGATCCATGGTATCCTTTGGATAGTCCTGCATGGAGCTGCAAAGCTGAGTATTTGCAGAATACTGATATCTCACCTGGAACTGTTGCATGACCTCATCCAGTGGCTTCATGTAGATGCTAAACATGAGAGGGCTGAGCCCTGTGGCACTCCACAAGCTGGGAACCATGGGCTGGACTTCTCCCCCCCCCCCAACCCCTGGAACTGATCATGGTCAGTGGTATTAAAGGCTGCTAAGAGGTTAAAACTAAATAAAGACAGAAACTATCTTATCTAGTCTGAGTAGTAATTAACATAACATAATACTAGGAAAATTCTTGGCAAATAAATATATAAACTAGAAATTACATACAAAATACTGTGTATATGTGTGTGTGTGTGTGTTTGTGTTTTCTTAAGTTTTTGTGGGTACTTACATGAATGGTATTCAGCTTTGTTCGGGTATTTTTCCCACGTCATTATAGTTGTGCTTTTAAAGTTGTAGCAACGTTTCGGCAGAATCTCATCTGCCATCATCAGGCTTCTGTATTGTGTTCGTAAACTATAATGACGTGGGAAAATACCCGAACAAAGCTAAATACCATATATATGGTATATATATATATACACACACACACACACACACACACACATAATTTTTCTTTTTCAGTACATTTCATATATGTATAAAAAAATGTACTGAAAAAGAAAAATAATAATAAGCATTTGAATGTGGTTTTTTAAAAAAGTAAAAATACGAAAAAGTAAAGATACGAATCAAATTGAAAAAATGAGAAATTGAATAAAATTAAAATAGATACTTATCAATCATTATTTTTAATTTTTAAAACTTCATAAATTATTTGCTTTGGTTTTTTCACATTTTAATAGCCATTTGTTTTTGTACAGTTATTAAAGGATTGTACTATATTCTTCAATACTTAGAAGGAGTGCTTCTGACCACCAGTGAGGATCATTAGAAGCATAATTTTTCCATCCACAGTGTTTTCCACACCACTGCATTCTGGGAGTTGTAATCCTAACACTTCTGCAGTCCATCAGACTGGAGAGGTTTCCATTTTGATCTTTGAGGACACCAACTCTTGTCTTCATGGTTATTTTACTGCTTTGCTTGTCTGCTTAGTTTACATTAATACTAAGAGGCATGCAAGACCAGTAGCAAAACTATTAATGCTTTTGTGGTTGGTGTTGAAAAAGGAACCTCTCAAGGAGTTGCTGAGGAACGGTAGGTATGCAATAGGATTTATTGGACCTTTAATTATTTTTTTAAAAAAAGAATTGAAAAATAAATTAAATTCAATTAACTGAAATAGTAGCAGTATATGTGATCAGAATATAGTGATGTAAATAGAATGTAGCAGAAGAAAGAAATCACTGCTTCCCTCCCAGATATGAGAATGTCTAGAAAAAAAGAAAAGGTAACTGAATCATACCATGCAATACACTGGAGATACAAAGGGGAAGTTTTCCTGAAAGCAAGAAAGTGAAAGGAGCTTCATGTCATAATTAAAATTACTTTTCTTCTTTCCCAGGATAAAACTTTAGAGTTCTCTCCATTTTATGAAACCCATAGTGTGTTTTTTTAATTATTTCTGCAAGGAAAGCTCAGAGAGGGTTTTTGTAATGAAGGAACAAGTTGTCTGATGTAAGAACTTTATACTTTCTCTTAGTATTTTTTTTCTACTACTTCATGATTTTTGCCGATTTTGTGAAAAATGAAACCAGCATTTGATCTTTATGTTCTGCTTTTACCTTCCTCCACCCCAAACTCATTGCTAGCTGGTGGATTAATACATTCAGTTTGACCACAGCTTTGATCATCATATGCTTAATGAAAATGTCTTTGGTAATTTTTCTACTAATGATTTAAAATAATCTATCTGTGGCTAATTTTAACCTACTTAGCCTGGAGAAGTACACTGCTGTTTAGAATATACAGGAAAGCTTTAGCTTATTTTCCTTTCTTCGGCACAGTTTGGTGATTCCCAGCAGCTTCGTCTTGTCCGTATCCTGCGAAGCACCGTTATGGTTCGTGTTGGAGGTGGTTGGATGGCACTAGATGAGTTCTTAGTGAAAAATGATCCCTGCAGAGGTATGTAAGAAAATAGCTTGGACGTCACACTCATTAACTGTGTCTATAACTGCCACCACTGTTTAATGGGAGGAAGGAAATGTCACCTGTATCAATTCCATAAGCTTAACTCAATCTTAATTTACTTAACAATGGCATACTTTTATGCATATTCATTTGCAAAAGCACTGCGTACCGAAAAAACTAGGGCAGAGGTGAGCAGACAAAAATGGTCTTCAAATGTTTTGGATTTCAGTTTCTGCAATGCAGATAACGCGGATAGTGGCAAGGAATGGTGGGCGTGGCATTTCAAAAGAATACTTAGAAGCCTTCCGTTGGCTGAAATTTCACTTAGGTGCTGAGAAAACCGAACACGATACAGGTAGTCTTCTACTTACAACCATTCATTTAGTGGCTGGTCAGAGTAACCACGGCGCTCAAAAATGTGACTTTCAAGCAGTTCGTGTATTTACAACTGTTGCAACATCCCCCTGGACACAGGATCAAAAGTTGGACACCTGCGGACCAGCATGTATTTATGAAGAAAGTAGCAGTAACCACCCATTTGTGACACCAAAATCAATAGGGAAAGCTGGATTCGCTTAATGACTGTATGATTCACTTAACAGTGGCATGCTTTGCTTAACAACCATGACAAAAAGATTCATACAATCAGGCATGACTCACCAACTTCCTTGCTTTAGCAATGGGAATTATGGTCTCACTTGCGGTCGGACTACCTGTACTGAAAACATATGTACAGTAAAGAAAGAAAGCTGTTACCCTACTTCCCCCTTTCTCCTTCCTAAGAATCTAATTTGACCTTAGAGGTGGGGAGGAGCAGGGAAGATGCCGGAACCAACCATGAGGTTCTGTCAGGAATAGCTCTCATGTTAATAGCTAGCCATTCTAATGAAGTTCTCATAGAGCTGTCTCCTGCCTGGAGGTGGGGATGTGTCAAAGCAGTCCAGAACACCAGTTGGTGTGCTGCTATAGGAAGCCAGATTTCACACACTCACACATACACACACACACACAAACACACTTATATACAGATAGTTCTCAACCTATAATCACAAGTGACTTTTTGCTAAGTGAGAAAGTTTAGTTGAATTTTGCCCCATTTTATGGTCTTTTTTTGCCACCAGTTGTTAAACGAGTCACGGCAGCTATTAAGTTAGTAACACTGTTGTTAAATGAATCTGGCTTCTTCACTGACTTCTGGCTTGTGAGAAGGTTGCAAAATCTGATCACATGACCCGGGGACACTGCAACCATCACAACTATGAGTCAGTTGCCAAGCACCTGCATTTTGATCACGTGACCAAGGGGAGGCTACAATGATCGCAAGGGTGAAAAACATTCCTAGTTCACTTTTTTCAGTGCTGTTGTAACTTCAAACTGTTGTAAGTCGAGGACTACCTGTATTTCAGTACTGGGAGAAATGTGAGTGTTCGCCTCAGTCTTCTGCCCCTTATTGGTAAGACTGGGAAAGTTGACAGACCAATTCATCTCCTTTCTCAGTGAGTTGCAAAAAATGATTTTCACGTTGCATTTAATGGGATTAATCCCTCCCATGTATACCCAACAGGGAGTGGTACTGATTGTGATGTGAGTCTAATTCTTGGTGCAAAGTAAAGGCCTCTCAGAATAGCCTTCATTTGCCAAGGGTAATGAGCTCAGATTGGGTATCAGATTGCTCTTCCCTTCAACTATTTCTTCTTCCTTGAAAGAAAAAGACTCTACAGCTTAGTTTTCCCCCTCCATTTTAATTCAGGCTGTAATATACCTGAAGTAATTAAGGATGGTTTCTAACAGTTGCAGTTCCAAAAAGAATCACTCTGGAAGAAGACAGATGTCAATAATAAGTACTCTTGTCCTGCTACCTAATTAACAAGAAAAAATTGCTTATTGTTCACTTTAGGGGGTAATATTATAAAACTTCGATTTTAAGATTACAAATGTCAGCTTTTTAAAATGTTTCGGTCTGAATGGAGTCAATTTAACTGAATATCTTGATGATGCGGTTTTTTTTTTAAAAAAATCTTTGTTTGCTTCTATGACTGGTGCTAGCAAGAAAAATGAATTCAGTCTGTATTTGGGAAATAAGAGATGTTAGAAAAGTGAATAGCTGACACAGATGCGATGATTTGCATTTTTCTTTCTTTTCTCTGGTCTTTGATTGCCCTGCCTTTCTCTTTATTCAACAAATATCAGTAGTAGTTTCTGATGTATTATACTGAGGCAGAACCACATTGCACATAAACAGACCCTATAGTCCAAGCATGAATGGTGAGCAGGCCCTTTGAGGATTTTGCAAGTTTATTTTTCTGAATTCACACAATAAGCAGAAGAGGAAGAAAAGGTCTCATATTTGTTGATGGTACTAAAATGGGATGCTGATAGTACTAAGATGGTACATTTAGAATTCTTATCTTGGTAGATACAAGAATCTTTGGGACTTGTTTGGCCTTTTGTTTTCAATATTTTCAGTTTGCAGAGAAGATTTCTTTCTCCCAGTGTGTAAGGCTTTACCTGCTTAGCCTGGCAGGAAAATAGGAATGTCTATAAGCAATGGTAACTCAATTGTAGCTATTTATTTATTACTGAGAATAATATAGGATTATTTTTTATCTGAGATCAGAAAAGTTATTGAGATGGGATGTGGAAAATAGTGTTTACATTTATCTGTATCATAGGCTCCTTCTGCCAGAGTTAGAAGTACTATAAGTTCAGGCAAAAGTCTTTTAAAACATGAGTATTTCACTTTATTTATCAAATTTATACACCTCCCATCTCACTATCCAATTGACTCTGGGCAGTTGAGAAATGAAAGACACGTACAAAGACACAGTTTAAAAAATAGTGTCAAAAGCAGCAAGGTAAAAAGGCCACCAGCCTCACTCAAGATTGCCTGCTGCTCTTAGATTCCATGCCAGTTGGCAGACACAGGTTTCCATCTTCTGGAAGGTCAGAAGGGTTGAGAAGGCAGCCTCATTTCTGTGGGCAAAATGTTCCATAGGGTGGGGGCAGTGTCAGAGAAAGTTCTTTTCCTAAATCCTTCCACTTGAAATTCTTTAACCAATGAGGTCTATAATATACCCCACTGTGCCTGACTGGATGGGACAAGTCTTGAGACAAGACAGATCCTTGGGTAGCCTGATCCCATGCTGTGAAGAGCTTTAAAGGTGATAAACAACACCTAGAACTGGCCTTGGAAACAAACTGAGAGCCAGTGCAGCCCACACAGTGGAGGGCTAAATTCTGCATCAGCTGCAAATTCCAAATATTCTAAGGGTAGCCCCACATAAAATGCATTGCAGTAGTCCATACGGGAGAGAACCAGGACATGAGAGACTGAAAGAAGGGCTTCATAGTCTAGGAAGGAGCACAACTGGTGCAGAACACAAGCTTGTAACATGGTATAACTCATATTTTAAAAAGTGTAATGCGGCTATAACTTTTCTCACTTGTAAACTAGCAGGCAGAGGCTGTGTGCGCTTCTGTAGTCTTCAAGGACAGTACCGCGAACAGCAATCTGCAGTAGTCCAACCCTGAGATTAAAAGGATGTGAATTACCACTGCATTTTCCTTTCCATGAATTGAAGAAACCAGTGTACCAGCTTTCAAATCTGGCAACGAATATTCTGACCATGACTTCTGCTTGTTGTTCTCCTGGGTAAAATGTGAATCCAGGAGACCTCCCAGATTATGGACCAATTCTTTCGGAAAAAGTATAATCCTGTCCAGTTGCAGAGGGGATTGTCCTGGAATAAGAAAAATTTTGAACCAACAACTATTCCATCTTAACTGGAATTAAAATTAGTTTGTTTCATCTTATCTAGTGAAAATGTTACTAATCAATTTGACATATTTTTGGCAGTGCCATAACACAAGTAGATTTTGAACCCAAATCTGTTCATGTTGTTCTATACAAGCTGTGATCTCTAACCTCGAGCCTGACTTGCCGGCTAGCGTACTATTGTCCATATGCAACATGCTAAGAACATCAGGACTTACAAGTTATTTTACAACTTTTATGGTTCATCAGATTACAAAATGAATCTCCATCTCTATTTACAAACCACTCTCTCCTGCCAAAACTTACATTTCTGTGTACATATCCCCCTTTTTTCCAGCAGACATGGCAAAAGAGAAGACAAAGGGTGGAAGGAACAAGATAGACTCAGAATAAAGGGAAGGGATTCTTGCATGGGGAAGGGGAGAAAGGAGGAAATAGACACTTGGTGAAGTGACAGAAAGAAATAACTGGAAAGAAAAAAAGAGAGACTATAATAAGTTGTTTCAAAGGTATCAAATTAGCAGCTAATACTCAGGCTAACAAAAGCATTCTGGCTTTGAAGCAGTTGGCAGTTTCTACAAATAGGTGTTGAATAAGGAGGCATTATGCTCCTCACTTTGGGGGAATGGACACCAATATTTTGTAACAGCCAGATTTTCTTCTATACAGATCAAGAGAAAGATTCCTTTTATATTATATTTTGTGTTGTCATAAACAAACTTCACCTTGCAAGAATGAAATTCTTTTAAATACCAGTGTATAGCAATATGGAAAGTTTTGAATTGTTTTTTCTTTTCTTTTTTTGTGGTTTACTGAAATAAATTTCAATATCCCTGAATTGGAATCTAAAATTGTTTTTTTTTTTAAATTTTCCAAAGAGAGTTTTGTGAAGTTAAGATGAAGTCTTTCATCCATAGTAGTCCAGACTAGCCAAGCATGATCTAGTTAACTGGAGAGACTCGAGTTCAAGTCCATACTCAACCACAGAAATTCCCTGGGTGACTTTAGGCCAGCCACTCTCAACTCATTCATCCTCACAGAGTTGCTCTTGCAGAAAAAAATGTGCTTTGGGGAGGGAGTGGTTTGCAGGCCACATTGAACTTCTTGAGAGAAGGTTGAAAATAAATTAACAAATAAATAAATCAATTTTTTTTCCGAACAGAATAAAAATTTTTAAGATTGGCCTCACTCAAAAAAAGAGAGGAACAAGATTTCAGTCTTATGAAAATCTATAATAAAAAAACTAGCCCTGTGTTTAGAAAGATAAAATATGAATAGTAGTGATTATTTAAATATTGTGTGGCATTTTGTCTTCTCTTTCAGGTTAGCATGGTTTGTTCCATTCCTTTTTTTTTTTTGTTACATTTCTTCATTTTGACAGAGAAGTGTTGTTTTTGTTTTTTAACATAGATGCCATTGGAAGTATTTGCTATTGAAATCATATAGGAGTCTTTGGTATTTCCTGAGAGAATTGATCTCGGGTAGGAAGAGCAAGCAAAAAGTTGTATCTGATTCTCTTTCTTGTTCTTCAGCTTTGAGTCTCTTGCATATGCATCTCTGTGATTGATTCTTCTCCTGCTAACAATTTTCTTTTAATATGACCCATGTCCTGTGTCATTTTTTCTAGTTCATCATCATGGGAGTAAAATGTTACGTTCGGAATCAAACTCTTCAATTACCACTCAGCCTACTATAGGTGGGCAAATCCCTCTCTCTTTGTCTCTCCTGTTCTTATTTTCTTTTCAATTTCCTTCTCGCTCTGCTTCAATATATATATCAAAATCTGTTTTAACAAAACGCTTCACCTATTGAAGTTTTAGATTAACACTTGCTGCACTGGGCTGGTGCTTGAGAGCTTGCCTTTAAATTTAAATAATGACTTTGAGAAAATGTCTCAAAAGCCATTGCTGCTAACCCAAAGAGGTATCAAACGCTAACCATGTTTATGCGTCTGATCCTTGTGCATTGTCCTCTCTTATTATAACAGCATTCCGTTGGTATTTAACATCCAAACCCTTCCTTAGAGTTTGGGAGTTTCTTGTTGCATTGCATGTTACCAAACTGTATGATTTCTAGTTTAGACTTAATATGGTTTACCCTTTGCTCTCTCTTGTCTGCTTATCATAGCCAACATCTGTTTCTGTTTCTGAATCACCCAAGAAAAAATAGCATTAGTTGAGTGGGTCCTCAGGTTGTGTCTGTGCCTCAGTAACCAAATAGCATGTTGAGCCATTCCATTATCATGCTGATTTATGTTGACCGTGGTTCATCTTTGCTGGCCTAGAACATTAGATGCGCACATTTTACCAGTGAACTCTTTTCTTTCAAACGCATTACTAATGTGTTTGATTTGTTTGGTTTATTTGTTGAGAACTTGGCAAGGCAATGGTGTGGAAGAGGAAGGGGGAGGCAAATGATCAGATTCCTAATTTTCTTTTTTCATTCACTGTAGCAAAAGGAAGGACAAACATGGAGCTCCGCGAGAAGTTCATGTTAGCAGATGGGCCTTCCCAAAGTATGGCTGCCTTCCGATCAAGAGGACGTAGATCACGGCCTTCTTCAAGGGGCGCTTCTCCCAACAGATCCATGTCTGTGTCCAATCAACCTGCCCAAGGAACTCCAGTTTCAGCTCTTGCTGCTAGTACGCCCAAGGTACAGTTTGAATAATCTTTGATATAAGATTTGATATACCTTACAATAATCTTTAATATTACTTAATAGGATTGAGTCCAACTGAACCTCAGTTAGTAGCAATAAAGCTGCCTTAAAACCAATAGGGAGATTTTAGTTATTTTTTTCCAAAGACTCTAACAAAGTTTTCTATTGTTTCCTCCTCTCCCCTGCCTTACAATATGCAGCGGTCATGCAAGACTGGGAAAAAACATGTAAGCCATTTAGACCACAGAACCAACTTGTTCAAGGAGTAAAACATTAACCCCCCATTGCATTTTAGAAACACACATAATCCTTTTCCATACAGAATGCTTGTCCTCACTTGCTCCTGCTCAGTTTTGGTGTCTTGTTTTGGACTTTTACTGTGAAATTCATTCTTCATAACCTGACTGTTCCATTTCATGACATTGTTTTCCAACAACTGTTCTTCACATTTTGATTTGCCATTGTTTCATACAGACACCCCATCCTTTAACACGCAACTATGGTAAACCATGGTTGATAAACAGCAAAACGTCATCTCCTTGTAAACCATCAGAGTGCTCTGAATATCAAGTATCATCCACAGAGGTACAGTAATGGACAGATTTTTTTTCTAGTCTAACCACATTTCCTTCACTAAAACTATCCTGTTAGCTAACAGTGATTTCCATTCCTTATCAACTGTGCTGTACCTACCATATTAATGCACTCTATTTGTTTTCACTCTTCTGTCCATCAATTTTGTTTCCCACCCCCCTCTTTTTTTTAAAACTTGTAAATTAATCAATTGTTGAAAGTTTGTTTGACTCCTATTTGGGCCTTGTTGAGCATGTAGTCCTTGTCAAAATGATAATTGATTTTATACAAGTGAAATTTTAGATTTATATAAATTTATATATATAAATTTATATATGAAATCTATAAATTTATATATATAAATTTATATATATAAATCTTTGTTAACAAAGACTTACATAAAAATAACAGATATCTTCATTCCTATGCTGACAGTTGGTTAAATATAGTTTTATTTGATTATATCTCATTGATACTAATTGGTTCTTATTCCTAAATTAGCTTGCAATCTAATGTTGTTTTGCTCGTTGGAAGGGTAAAACGTGCATAAGTTTAATTATGATCTTCAGATAATTTAACCTATCCAACACTTAGGTTTAAGTCAGGAAATTTATTAAATTAAAAATGGCTGGGAAAATCTATTAGCAATATAATTTGTAAAACTCTAAAATGTGTAGTGATAAATTTAAATTTGAGGTGTTCTAGCCTCAAATTTTGCATACCCTCAACTGGCCTCCAGCTAGCCTTCCTTAACCTGATGCTCTCCTGATGAGCTTGAAATCAATTCCCAACACCTTCCTGCTGAATGGATATTGATTCGTAATCATTAAGTTATGTGACACCAATTTGGGAGTTTATTTTTAATGTGTTACTCCAGAAAAAACGATTTGCTTGCAGGGTAGTGTTTCAATTCCCAGGAGCTCTTGCTGCAACACTAGAGAATTGGGGTGGCATGCCGTGGATTGGCCCATTTTGGGGTACAAAGAGCCCTGGTTCTTACAACATGAAAATTTCCATCTCATTTGCATCATTTAGAAGAGGGAAGAGGAATGGGGAGGAAATCTATAATTCCCCATGTTTTGCCCTGACCAAGATGAGCCAGAACTTAAAGAGTGACTCTTCATCTGCCACCGTATTGATTTACCAAAAGGCATCTTGAAGGAGGATCTCATTTTGGCCTTTAATGAATGAAACGTATTAACCAATTTAAATAATTACATACTTCAAATTAGGCAGAATATATTGAACTACATAATTTGTACTAAATATGATCTCATTTAATAATCACATTTCTGTATGGAGTATTACAGCAATTAGAACAGAAAAATGCCAGATTATTTCTGCTGTTTTAAGTATAAAACTATATGGAATATGAATTATTGTCAGTTTTTAAATACATATAGTCCTTGACTTTTAGCAACCATTCTAAATTACAGTGGCTCTGAAAAAAGTGACTGACACACTCCTCACCCTTACAACCATTGCAGCATCCCCATGGTTCACATGCTAAAAATTCAGTCACTTGGCAACCAGCTTGCATTTACAATACTTGCAGAATCATTTGTGATTGCCATTTGTGACCTTCCCAGCTGTTTTTTGATAAGTCAATGGGAGAAGCCAGCTTTTCTTAACAACCACATGATTTACTTAATTGCAGTGATTCCCTTAACAAGTGTGGCAAAAAAAGGTCATAAAATCAGGCACAACTCACTTAATCACTTTGCTTAACAATGAAAATGGTGGTCTCAGTCAAAAATTGAGGAATACTTGTACTCCATTCTATTTAGTCCCGTTCTTAGCCAACTGTAACAAAAATGACTTAAAAATAACTTAATTCAGCATATTGAACTCTTTGGAATATTCAGGACAGAAGATGGATGCTACAAAAATTAAGAATTCTAAACATTGGCGAAATTGAACATTAAATTGTTACTGCACATTGAAAAGTATTCATATCACCTTCAACATTACCATATTCACATCACATTAAACCACATTACTTTGGAATACAAATGAACAAAATACTTCCTTCTATCAACTGGAGTGTTTAAATAAACCATGGAAGAAATTTCTGTGATTTATTTAGCCTGGGGTTCATATTGGGAAGTCTGGCTTCTATTTATTCCCTCACTAAAAGATCAGAGGGTTCCTTTGAATTCCATCAATTTAGGCATCTTGCTTCTTGATGTTGAACATTAAGGAGAGAGTTTATGACATCACGTCCCAACACTTTTTATACATAGACAGTAAGAGTGTTGTAATATTTAGTTCACTTCTTTTCAGTCTCCAAGCAAAAAAGACACAGATGGTACATTATGTCATGCTCCCATGTGCAGCCACCAACACCACGCTGGAGGGGATGGGATTTCAATTGTTACAAAATGTTTTGAGTTATACTGGCCAGAACATAATGTGATGCCCGCTGGTGGACAATGGAATTCTTTTTCATCCATAAAAATTAACATTTCAGATTATTTAATTACTGTTCATTGGCAGTATCTACATTTAATCATTTTTTGGGTAAACCTATTGATACCACTGCAACTTTTAAGTCATTCACAATTAATCAAGTCCCACTAATTTCAGTACATCTGTGCTAAGTCTTGATCCAATGAAATATATTTGCATTTTTGAAGATGTTAATTAAATATGTTAACTAGAAATAAATCTGGAAGGTGCTACATGTTTATCCATATTGATTATTACAAATAGTCCTACAACCATTCATTTAGTGACCATTCAAAGTTACTTCATCACTGAAAACAGGTATTTCATGATTGTTCTCACACTTAGGACCGTTGCCACATCCCCATGGTCACATGATCAAAATTCAGTTGCTTGGCAACTGGCATAAATTTATGACAGTTGCAGTGTCCTGGAATCACGTGACCACCTTTTGTGACCTTCTGACAAGCAAAGTCAATGGGGAAACTATGTTACTAATTTAACAACTTGCAGTGATTTGTTTAACAGCTGTGGCAAGAAAGGTTGCAAAATAAGGCAAAACTCACTTAACAACCATTTTGCTTAGCAACAGGAAATTTGGGCTCAATTGTGGTCATAAGTCGAGGACTATCTGTATTGATCCAGTAAAAATAATAAAATAGATGAAAGAACACATTTATGCAATATTTGATCCTGCTGCCAGAAAGGAACAATATTCATCTTCATTTACATTCACAGTCCTGCAGACTCTGGTCCTTGAGCTTGTATGCAGGATATACACATTATGAAGGTGCTACTCTATGGAAAGAGGTGGGCCCAGGTTTTAAAGATTCAGAGGGCTTCTGAGAAGGACCAGTCTTATGAGCCATTTTATGGGATCAGTTATGCTGCTTTACGATGGTTTGTGTGACAGAAAAAAAATGGCTGCACCATAAACAGTAATAAATGTAAATACACTATGAGCTTTTAAGGGCTGTAATCAACTACTTTGAAATCTGATCCTAAACTGAGATAGATTAGATTAGATTAGATTAGATTAGATTAGATTAGATAGATAGATAGATAGATAGATAGACAGACAGACAGATGATAGATAATCTTGACATGTAAGAATTATTTGTTCATATACTGTAGTCCCATCAGTGTATATTGTAGCTTGATATATTATATTGCACAGACAACAAGAGACAAGTCCCCACCTCAAGAAGGCAGCAATAAATACAGTCTCTCTCTGTTTTCCTGTTGATATGTTTCTGAACAGTGCTATCTGGTCAATTTTGGTCAAAGCATTTTTCTGTGATCTGGGTAGAGTTCCAAATTCAGCCCTGTTCAATGCACGTGCTTTATTCAATGCTCTTATATCCTACAGGGAACTCCAATACAAGGGAGTAAACTTAGACTTCCAGGCTATCTTTCTGGGAAAGTTTTTCATTCTGGAGAAAATAATGGCCTAATTTCAACAGCAGCTACAAGAGCCAGAGCACATTTTGCAGGTAAGTGTTGGATTTGCTGGGATGGGACACCTGCATCCTTGGGGACATCCCACTTGCAGAAGTTGAAAGTATCTGTCTCTCCTTAGCCTTCCGTTTGTAACTCAATCTCTTGTTTTTACTGCTATATAAATCTTATTATAATCAAGATGGGTCTTTTCAGCTTGGAATGCTCTGAAGCAGTAGAAGGTGCCAGTTGCATTTAACTTAAGTCAGAGTTCAAGTATGTGACAAGGCCCTCTTCAGAAGCAGCCTCATTTTGCTTTGTTCCACTAACCATGGCTGTCTTTCATCTTGTCTTGCAGAACCTAGAAAAACGTCAAGTAGGCCTGGAAGTCGTGCTGGAAGTAAAGCCGGGAGCAGAGCGAGCAGCCGTCGGGGCAGTGATGCCTCTGACTTTGACATTTCAGAAATCCAGTCAGTGTGCTCAGATATGTCAGAAACTGTTCATACCCCAATTAGACCAAGATCCCGACCGAATTCTCGGTCTGCCTCGGGAAAGCCTTCCAAAATTCCAACCCCACAAAAACGATTGCTAGTCAGAAAATTAGACAAGTCCTCCAAGAGATAGTGCAGTTGGCTTCTCAAAGTCTTTTCTTTTCTTCTGTGCATTAAATATTTAAGTTTCTAAGATGTAAATTATCCTGTAGAAATTATTGTGAAATATGGCAAGAGTTGGATTTTTAATTTTGCAAATGGCCTTATTTGTGTATCGGTCTTGATATTTTATGTGTATAGTTTTTGTTAACTTTTCTTTTGTTTATGCCATATTCTATGTGAATAGGAGAACATTTTTTTAATGTAAACTAACAGTTGTTTGCAGTAACATATAGAGAAGTCACTAAAAGCTTTTATCGCTAACTCTTTGCATCATACATCCGCCTGGCCTGTTGCTTCATCATTTACAGTAAAGGATACCTCAGAACTTGATCTTCATACAGATGACAAAAACCTAAATAATACATTTTGAACTAACAACGTGGACGTTAATACCATGTGACCGAAACTTAAACAACAATGTGAAGATACAGTTCTTTTTGCCATTATATTAATTAAACAATTTCTTCCAGGAAATTCATACATATTGCAATATATTCCCATGGTTTTCAGTGTGCTGTTGCTTTAAAAGACGGCAGAAACAATCTTGGTCCGGGGGAAGGGGGGATGTTACACTAGCATTAGAATATCAGTATAACCTGCATTCATTGTAATGTGAGGTTTTCTTTTGCTTGAGTGGATGATAGCTTTGTATCATTGGACTCATTTTATATCAAAGCAGTTTTGCTTGCAGAAAAAAAAATATACAAAATAAATCTTGTCCACTTCTCTTTATTGCTGTGGTTTTCCTTTTATCCCAGGGAAAGAGATGTTCTTCATTATGCTTGCCTCGTATCTGCTTTGAAAAATGCAAACCCCATTTCTTCAAGACAAAAATTGCCTATTTATTGTATATTAAAGGGTATCACATACACACACAAATAACAAAAATATCATCTATATTATTTGTTTCTCATCTGCAATCCTGGCCCTCCCCATTTCTTTCTGCATTTATCTGCAAAAAAAGTTTCTCCATTTTTTTAAAGTCTCTTATGTGATAGGTTTTTCACATACTGTTGTATCCATCTGTTCACATTGTGCTTTTACAATTATTATTTTCTATTTGTGGAAAGTCTCTTGATCAGGAGACACCTCTGCTAACAGAAAGATATTCTATATGCCTCAGATGTGTTTGTACCAGACTGCTGGAGAGCTGCCAATATAACACTGATTTTTAAAAGACTTTTGAGGATGGGAGGTGTAATCTTAAAAAGTGGCAGGCTGATTAACTTAAGGTCTATACTAAATAAACTGCAAAGCCATGCTTTAGTTGAAGCATCAAGCATATAGCCAGATATAGCTTTAGCAAAGTTTTGAGTTTTCTCACTTTAAACCTACATTGGGTGTGCCTGGGGATAATAAGTGAAGTTTATTTTTACTGTGTGGTGCCTTTTGATGAAATTCCTTATTGGAGTCAGTGAATAAACAGGCTTGTCTCATGGATTGATTTAAAAAAAACAAAGTAGAAAATATACACTGCTCCAAAAAATAAAGGGAACACAAAAATAAGACATCCTAGATCTAAACGAATGAAATATTCTTATTAAATACTTTGTTCATTACATATTTGAATGTGCTGACAACAAAATCACACAAAAATTATCAGTGGAAATCAAATTTAGCAACCCATGGAGGTCTGGATTTGGAGTTACACTCAAAATTCAAGTGGAAAAAAACACTATAGGCTGATCCAACTTTGATGTAAAGTCCTTAAAACAAGTCAAAATGAGGCTCAGTAGTGTGTGTAGCCTCCATGTGCCTGTATGACCTCCCTACAACGCCTGGGCATGCTCCTGATGAGGTGGCGGATGGTCTCCTGAGGGATCTCCTCTCACACCTGGACTAAAGCATCCCCCAACTCCTGGACAGTCTGTGGTGCAACGTGGGGTTGGTCGATGGAGCGAGACATGATGTCCCAGATATGCTCAATTGGAGGGCCAGTCCATAGCATCAATGCCTTCATGTTGCAGGAACTGCTGACACACTCCAGCCACATAAGATCTGGCATTGTCTTGCATTAGGAGGAACCCAGGGCCAACCGTACCAGTATATGGTCTCACTAGGGATCTGAGGATCTCATCTCGGTACCTAATGGCAGTCATGCTATCTCTGGCGAGTACATGGAAGGCTTTGTGGCCCCCTAAAGAAATGCCACCCCACACCATTACTGACCCACTGCCAAATTGCTCATGCTGGAGGGTGTTGCAGGCAGCAGAACGTTCTCCATGGTGTCTCCAGACCCTGTCACATCTGCCACGTGCTCAGTGTGAACCAGCTTTCATCTGTGAAGAGCACAGGGTGCCAGTGGTGAATTTGCCAATCTTGGTGTTCTCTGGCAAATGTCAAATGTCCTGCACGGTGTTGGGCTGTAAGTACAATCCCCACCTGTGGATGTTGGGCCCTCATACCACCCTCATGGAGTCTGTTTCTGACCGTTTGAGCAGCCACATGCACATTTGTGGCCCGCTGGAGGTCATTTTGCAGGGCTCTTGCAGTCCTCCTGTTCCTCCTTGCACAAAGGCGGAGGTAGCGGTCCTGATGCTGGGTTGTTGCCCTCCTACAGCCTCCTCCACGTCTCCCAATGTACTGGCCTGTCTCCTGGTAGTGCCTCCATGCTCTGGACACTACGCTGACAGACACAGCAAACCTTCTTGCCACAGCTCGCATTGATGTGCCATCCTAGATGAGCTGCACTACCTGAGCCACTTGTGTGGGTTGTAGCCTCTATCTCATGCTACCACTAGAGTGAAAGCACCGCCAGCTTTCAAAAGTGACCAAACCATCAGCCAGAAAGCATAGGAACTGAGAAGTGGTCTGTGGTCACCACCTGCAGAACCACTCCTTTATTGGGGATGTCTTGCTAACTGCCTCTGCTTTCCACCTGTTGTCTATTCCATTTGCACAACAGCATGTGAAATTGATTGTCAATCAGTGTTGCTACCTAAGTGGACAGTTTGATTTCACAGAAGATTGATTTGGAGTTACATTGTGTTGTTTAAGTGTCCCTTTATTTTTTTGAGCAGTGTAGATAAATGGCTGGTGTATATTATGAAAAAATGAAAGCCATTGTTCTACAATGGGACCATATAGTTTCAACTGCCTGGGAAATGAGAGATGACCAGGTTTGCAGCTGACTCCAAATTATCAACAGGTTTACAATGCGAAAAAGGTTCAAAATGTAACTAAGCATCCTGCAGAAAGTAGTATTAAGGTAATGAATGTAATTTATCATAAACAGGAGTGAAGTGATGTACATTGGTCCAAAAATTGCTACCTTATTAACAGACAACTTCTAGGATTTAGGCTGGAAGTTGACCAGTGTTCAGAAATAACCCAGCTTAAAGATTGACAATGTGGGGCAGGAAAATTTTGTCCCGATACAAGTTGGTTTTTTGGTACTCAATGCACAAGCTAGAAACTGGTGTTGGTTGCCTCATGCTATTCCTTGTGGGAAAAATTTGTTTGATACTTGTCATTTTTGGTATTCATTGCACCTCCCAGAACCAATGAACAAGGACTGAGATACCACTGTATTTAATAATAGGTGTGTTTTTCCAGAAGATCAGTGTATACAGGTGCTGTACTGCAAATAGGTCCAGGGATTCCTATTGTGCTCAGGCCCAACTTCTTTTGTCTGATTTGGGTGACATTTTTTTCCCTGTTTCCTTAAGGACTTGGTTCCTTCTTATCTACTTTCCTTGAGGGAGCTTTTCCTGGCTTTTGTCCACCCTGCTTTGCATGCTTATCTTTAGATACGGTGGCTTAGGCCTAGTCTCACACTGCCCACCTTTGGCTTGCCTTGGGTGGCTGAATGGCCAGGTTGGGAGCAGGTCAAGGCCTGCAGTGAACTCAGGGGGCAGGAAGCGGAGCAGACAATGCTGCAGGGTGGGGGAGGCCTAGGCCAAGCAGGCCTGTGCCTGTGCTAGGCCCCTATCCCTGAGGCTTCCCATGCTCTGCTTAACCAACACATACATTCATTTAATGGCCTCCTCAGGGAAAGCAACCCTTAGCCACATCCTCACCAAAAATTCACGGATGAACGGTAAATTATCCATACACTTGTCTAGCGAAAGACAGAAAACTCTCTTCGGCTGGAACAGACTAAGGGTAAAGGTAAATTGCCTTGACTGTGGGCATTGCAGGCATGAGTTGAGACAATATGAACATGTGGCCTCAAAAATGGTTGAGTTGTGATTAGAAAATCATGCAGAAGGCCTGTCTTTTTATACGTGAAAAAAATGACAGAAAGGGCGTTCAAGTTAGGCACCAGGCCCAATTATTGTAGACCAGAAGCATTCACAGGAGGCGCCAAAATGTGAAAGGTGGCAGATGTGACATCACAATAGAATGCCTGTCCCTTTTGTAAGTGCAGTGATGTCACACATGAAAGGCACACAACTTCAACCACAAATGTTGCACCTACCCTGTTGCAGATTTTTAATCTTCGGCAGATGCTCATGTGACTCCCAGTGACAATTTAAGGGGCAAAAAAGTTGGTATGTTTCTGTTGAATTTAAGATTAATATCAGGACTGTCTACTTTTCTGCAGAAATATAGAATTCTGTTGTTTGTTATGTTGTTGGGTTTATTACTTGGTGGGTTTGTTTTCAAAATTTCTTGTAGCATTTGTGTTTAATTAGATCTAATTTCCTGTTCGCATTTTGCCTAGCAGCAAAATGGCAGGCAAAGTTGTCCATGAAGCAAATGGTTTTTCATAATTTACTGTGCTATGGATCAACTGAGGATGCTCTGCTCTCTTTGTCAAGTTAGTTTGTGCAGCTGCCTACAGTTTTTAAATCCCTGATAAAATATAAGACAAAAAATATTCATGAAATACCGATGATTACTTCTTAGCAGTATTCCTACGATGGACGGCAGACAAAAATAATAAAGAGAAAAAAGCCTGAGGTTGCTTGTACTGTATGGTGTGAAAGCTGGATTACTGCATACTGAGGTTTTTTGCCATAGAGATAC